AATTTCTTAATTTTTGTAACATGTTATATATACATAGTTCATAAATTACGTATAACAAAATGTATATATTTTTTCAAAACTTTTTTATATTAAAATCTAATAAGAATTTTGATATTAATATCTATTGTATATTAATACAAAATACTAAATAATATTTATATAATAGATAATAATTATATTCAATATTTTAAATATGTAAATAAAAAACTTTGAAATGTAAAGTTTATTATATTTATTATATTTAATATTATTATATTTATTATTTTAAATATGTAAATAAAAAAACTTTGAAATATAAAGTTTCCATATTTTTGCGTATTAATAATCACGCTTAGCTTTTAATTAACCCGTTTTTTTCTCCCGACTGCTGCCAACCGTAGGTTGGCGAAAAGAGAGGAAGTATGCGTTTCATCGAGCCCGGATCGGTCGTGACCTTAATTCTCGATAACTACTGCATAGTTTTATATCAACTTTGGAACATAAGTTTCTTATTAATCAAGGAAGGTTTAAAGCGTATTATTATCGTTATTTATTCTATTAATAAAAAGTGAAAAATGAGTATTATTTCGTCAATACGGTCTCTCATTGGCTGCTGTGTGAACCTAAGAGGAAAAATGATTCACCAATGAGATTCGTTGTAGTATCCGGATAGGGAATGTTGGTGACATTGGTATATACATCTCGAAGTAATAATGACGGGACTGATAGGATAGGTTAGCTGTCACCTGTTGCGTGTTATTGTCAACAACAATATTAAGTGAAGTGTATTATTATGGATATATCTCAAGAAGATATAAATAAAGGAGTAAGTTTCTTCTTTTATATTTATTGTTTTTTTCTTTATTTAGAATATTGTTATTATTATTTATTTATTGTTTCTTTATTTATATGTAGGAAGAAGATACTCGCTTGAAGATATCTGAAGAAGAAAACATTATTAATAATAGAAAACGAGTAAGTCTTGTTATTAATAATAATAAAAATATATAATATAATTAATAATATAATTAATCTGTTGTAGTCATAACATGGCTATATAAATTTATATTTGTCTGCGTAGCCACTTATTTGCTATTAAATTTGCTACGTAGCCACATTGCTATAAATATCCACATATATAATTGTATAAATATATATAGTTATTTTTTCTCTTATTTGTATATTATATAATAATTATATAATTAATTAAAAATATGTATACAAATATATTTATAGTTATACAAAGATATTAGCGCACCAATAATTATGGCAATGCAGACAAATATATTAACTTACATAGCCAATTATCTACTACAAAAGATTATTCACATATGTAATAATAATTAAGGCTATACAAATATATAAACTTACTTGTGATTACATAATGTATAAACTTATATAGCCATAAGAAAGTTAATATATTTGTCAAAGCCATAATTATAACTGCGTACAAGTTTACGTATTTGATATAAGATATTGTTGTCATCTGTCTTTGTCATCTGTCTCTCTCTATCTATCAATCTATCTATCTAGCTATTTTTTTTTATTTATCTCTCTATTTATATTATATTATATTAATTAAAAAAATTGTAGCAGAAAAATATTTGGAAAGAATATAGAACATTGCAGTCACATGGTGAGTGTATGTGTGTCTTTATTATTATCTTCATATTATAATTAATATTTTAAGTTCACACATATTAATTATATATTAATATTAATATATATAATTAATTATATTAATATTAATTAATATTAAGAGAAATATTGAAAAGGAGAAAGTATACTAAATCATATCCTCTAAAGTAAATTTTAAACTGGTTTTTTTTTAGTTATTTCTAACTATGTTTTTTTGTCAACAATATATGCTAAATATTAACACAATTTATCATTTACCTTTCATACATATACAGAGAATTTTTATATTATATCTTCATATATCAATATATGAATTTCTAATAACAATGTCCAACTGTGGAATCTGAATGCGACCAATAATGAAATGTATTTTCTCTTTTCGCTTTTCTATAACAATCTTTTTTTTCTATTATAATATGATCTTCCATTAATATCACAATGACAATTCATCAGTGCAGCATTAATAAATAGTGTGTAAATGCAGTTTTGGGAATTATTCATTTTGTTCTCGTCTTTTTTCCCTGTGTTCGAATATGTCCCGATATCTTAGAAGATTTTTCGAGTTATGCATTTTTTTCACTGTTTATTTATTAAACTAGACGATCTTTGATATCGTTTCTATTGTTTATTTTACAACTGGCAAATTGTTAATCTTCGCAATGACAGTTGCTTAATGCTATGACTATAATTTTAATTCGCTGAATTTCTGTTATATACATAATTTTAATCTATTAAATTTCTACAATATTATGTACATAATTTTAATTTGCCAAATTTCTATTATATTGTTTGAAAACTATTTTGTGTCGATATATGTATATCTTTATATATTTTTTAGTTTAATTGAATATAATTACGTGTGCGAAGCAAAATTATATTATTCTTTTATAATAAAACTTTAAAAATTGCAACGCTTGTATAAAATTATTATTGCAATGCATATGCATAAAAATATGTTTATTAATTACGTGATTCATAAATATATTTTTATGCATGCATTGCAATAATAATTTACAGGTATTAAACAATTGTAATAAATTGCCAGTTTGGTCGACTTGCTCATTAGATATTTGTTTTTTATTACTGGCGACCTTTTGAAGAATTTATTTATTAAATAAATTTTTCTACAAGAATCTTTTGTGATCAAATATCTACGCTTTCATTAGACTTGCGCGAGACTCCATACCCCATATGTCCGTCACGCTGCGTGGTTCGCGCGAGACTGATTCTCGTGCGAGATATCGGCAAACGCGGGACCCCGCACTACAGGAGAATCAGTCTCGCGAATTTCTTCAATTCTGTCAAAAAATAATTGAAAAATGCGATCTAAATTTCACACAATTTCATATACATTATAATTAATTACATGTATAATGTAATATTTGTTTTTTAGGGCTTTTTTCATATTTAATTTTTATCGCGGTATCAATTAGTGTAAAAACAAGCGTGGTTGTTTTTAAAAAATATGTACTTAATAGTTGCAAATTACATACTTTTTCTTAAAAACAACTGTGCTTTTAGTACACTAATTAATTGCTGTCATCAATTTGTACATAAAAGTATTGAGATAAGATCATCGAAAAAGGAATATTTACAAGATATTTTGTAATTTATGTAAAATTTTAACACCAAAGTACAAAATATCTCATAAATTATTCATTTTTTTATTATATCCTACCATTATAACTTTTTATGCCAAATAAAATAATGGTTCCATATAAAAAAATAAAATGTTGGTCTTAATATAATAACCCTGTGTACTTTGATTAAAGATCAAATAAAGATCATTATCAGATGATTCCCTCAACATCAAATAATTTTTGTTGATAACATTTTTTTAAATGTCTAATTTGATAATACTATATAGTACTATATGAAACATTCTACGTCAAATCCCCTTGCCTAGAATTGTATTGAAGTCTAACTTGTGATTATATAAGATAACAAAATTTAGCTTAAAGCTTCTATGTTTCGATGCAGTTCAATAATTTTGAAAAAAATTTAAAGTAGAGATTTAGAATTCAATAATAAGTACTATCTTATAAAAACTCTACTATTTTTTGCAGATGAAGTGCAAAAGTCAAGTTTTCAATATACTTTTATTCGCTGAATCAGAATCTGTAAAAAAATAAAAATAAAATAAATAAATAATTAAATAAATTATATGTATATTTTTCAAATAAATATTTAGTTATTATTGATTAGGTGTCCACTTTTGAAAGATGAAAATATTTTTGTTATTTCTAACAATATTTTCTTCTCTCCCCCCCCCCCCCATAACATTAATAGTTATTGTAATCTGCATAATTACACCATTTATCATTATCAGTTTTTTATTATATGATGTTTAACACTACTGCAGTAGAAGATTGAAGATTGATGTCACCTCGCGCATTTCTACTTCATTAAAAGCTCATTAAAAAACTGATATTGACAAATAATATAACTGTTCAGAATACAATAACTGATAAATGTTTACTGCACAGAATTATCGTAGTAAGAGAAAAAAAATATCCTTTAAAATATTTACATTAGTTTTATCTTTCAAAAGTACACATAATTCAGAAAATCCAATCGGACAAGTTTCGTCGAGATTCTACGGTGCCATGAAAATCTCTTAATCTATAATTCGATAGAATCTCCGGATTATATGATCTATCGAGTATTATGGTACCGATCGCGATATTCTATGCTAACAATGACTTGATGGTCGATCCTGTTATAAGTAATACAGGTAATCCCGTTGTAAAAAATGTATATTGACAAAAAGAGATTTATTAAAAAATATTATAATAGAAATTATTTAAATATTAATTATAGTGGAAATTTTGCTTTATATGAACCGAGGATGCGCCTACACTTGTGTACGAAAGAATTTTTTAAATCATGAGAGGGAAATATACAAATAATGTAACAACGATATGATAATAGATACATTGGTGATCTAAATTATAGAAGTTAAATAAATAAATATATAAAAAATAAACAAAGTAAAAAAAATAATAATAAACAAAGAAATATATATACATGAATAAATAATAAATAAATAAATAAATAATAAAATAAATAAATAAGTAAATAATTTAATTCAGTGATTTAAAATATTCAAAAATATTGTTAGCTAGTTGTCCACGCCTTTTGTATTATGTTATTATAATTTTAACAATTTATAAATTTTTTATACATATTGAATTATATATTAAACTATATATTATACACATTAAATTATATAATTATTATATCTTCATATAATGTATATGAAAAAATCTATTAACCTTTGTCAAACTGTTGATTCTATTGAACGTGGTCAGTAACGCAGTACAACCTTTGCTCTTTCTATCAATCAGTATGTAATTTATTTTTTTCTATTAGCATAATATCTCACGTCATCGATGTAACATTATAAATACAAATAGTGGACAGGATGTTAATGCGCTCAGTCTTTATTCATATTTACTCGCTTGTTTTCTGCCCTTCTTCTTCTTTGATAATACATATCCCGATACTCCAGAAAACTCTCTCGGGTTGTCCATTTTCATTTACTGTTTAGTATAGTTAATTATGGATGGAATAAGATTGATAGGGTTTATATGTTTGTTGTCGTTTTACCGTTGTCTTGATGGGGCGACCATCGGGCTAAACGAACTCGTGGAAACAATTCGATCTAGCTCGAACAATGAGATCAATTCCAATAGAATTTTCAACACTGTAAGTACACACTTTAACTAATTACAATAAGGCTTAAAATTTTCATTATTCCGATTAGTTGAATATCTTCAACGTTGTCAAAAATTGATTAAAAAGTGCAATCTTATACATGATGACACTTGATTCACGCTCACTAATTGTAAGTACATAGCGTTATTCCTTAACAAAAAATATTTTTTATACATTTTCTGTCTACATTTTTAATAAAAAAATAATTACACTGATCGACACCATTTTGGTCTTAAAGCAAACAAAGCTGTTTCTGGTAGATTTTGATGCGCTGATTACAAATGTGGCTCAGAAAATGTATCACGTCAAGTTTTTGAGATATTCTAATTGGAAGGTGCAAAAATGAGATTTTAGACCTTTTTTAAAACAATCTTTAAATATTTTCTTTCAACATTTGGATAGATAATATATTAAAGTGCTATTCTTAACCTTTACCACGCTTACTCGATTGCTATGATTCGAATCTGTTTTATCTTTTCGAGATATGTAAATCCTTGTGTTTCCACTACACGTATAGATATACCTTCTTACGTTAAAAAACTAAAAAAATTTAATTTACTCCATCTCAACAAAAAAAAATCGAATCATAGCAATCGAATATGTGGTGGAAAAAATAAGTATACTGAAATAGGTTCGGACCGTACAGGATGTAGAGAATGAAAATGTAAGCAAATAATATAAGTAACGTTTTTGCCTGGGATCAATAATAATCGTAAAAATTAGTAATTAGTTTTTTGACACTTAGCAACTAAGCACTATCAGCTGATGTGCATAAACAAATCGTTTTGTTGCCACTGCCAATGAGTTAGGAATTTATTAACAAATTCTCAAAGTTTCTCGCTTCATTCTTCAGAATTAAACTATTGGTTGTAAAAATTACATACTGCTGCTAGTGTTAATTTAAACTACTTAAAAGTTTCTTCCTTGACATGAAAAATTAAGATAGGGCCGTTTGTTTTCATAAAACAGAGATTTAAAAATAAGACACTTTTTAATTTTTATATCGATAACTATTCGTCAAATGGAAAAAAGTCACTGCCAAGTGTCGAAAAACTAATTACTAATTTTCACGATTATTATTGATCCCAGGCAAAATTGTTACTTATATTATTTGCTTATATTTTCATTCTCTACAACATCCTGTACGGTCCGAACTTATTTCAAATGCATCCTGTATAACACTTTAATATGTCATTTACCCAAATATAATTTTAAAAAATTGTTAAAAATATTATAGGTCGTTGAAAATAGCCTAAAACTTCATTTTTGCACCTTTAGATTAGAATATTTCAAAAACTTGACGTGATACATTTTCTGAGCTAGATTCGTAATCAGCAAATTAAAATCTACCAAACACAGCTTCGTTTGCTTTAGGGCTTAAAAAAAGTTGTATTCTGATCGTCCAGTAAAAGTCGCGTCCAATATGGACGCGGGGTCAGACACAAATGCGTAGTTACGCATCATATTTTTTGAAAAATCATACGCATACACTTACATCTACAAAATTTCCCAAACTTGTATATACATCATCGTTAAGTAAGTAGTCTTTAATGATATTTATTTATTTTTTATGCAGATTATTGTTAAGAATCAATTTAAAAAATATATTAAAAAATACTGTGGTTACATTTAAAAAATTCAAGATTATTTTTTTGGCCTTGGCAATATCATTTAAAGTGTAAATGATAAGATCAGTAAATATTTTCAAACAATTTCTATCTGAAACATTTTTTTATAAAACTTAAAATTTTTCAAGATGTTCCGGGGTTTCGAACTTTGTGAATGATTAATTGAACACTAACTCTATCAGTGTCTACACAAACATTATTAGATACATACATATTATATATTAGAGAGATATGGACAACAATATAATCCTCTACAATTTTTTTCTAAAATAATTTTAATTGACTTCTACACTTTACCTCGCAAAAATATTTTAATTATCTTATATTTTTTGAAAATTATAATTATATGCTTAATTAGATGTCATTAATGTTTATTTGATTTTATTTTAAATTTTATTATTTTTATCATGTGATTATTATCATAGTATTACCCTATATATTTATTATATATTGTATATGATCTTTTATATTTATATTGTTATTGTAAAACGCTACATTATTAAGAAAATATCAAGAGATACTGTAGTATCTAGCTTCAGGTGAATGCATGAAGCGCCAGACCGACCGTGTATTTATACGCGACATTCTCATTTTTTTCGCGAGTACTTGATTATTGGTTTTCATATAAAGACTACACAAGTAAATTTTTATAGGTTTTAATGCATAGCCAGGGATTGAATTAATAATACACAAAAGTGTTTTGTTATTTTATATTATAGTCTCATTTTAATGATTCTTTTTTTAGCCAGAAGTAATAGAAAAAGCAGGTTATTCCACGGAAACTCACGTTGTAACAACAGAAGATGGCTACATTTTGACGTTACATCGTATCCCAGGTGGCAATGCATCTCTACCTGTATTACTGGTACACGGTGCTTTTAACGATGACAGTGTTTGGATCACTCTTGGTAAAGGCAAAGCACTCGGTACGACTTTTTATATAATCATTGAAAGATATACTAGTAATGTTAATCACATCATATCGTTAATTTTTCTTTCAAGTAAAAAATATTGAAGAAAAAAATATTGACTTTAAATGGCAAGAAATAAAAATATTTTAATGCACTTTTAGAATTGCGTTACAATTTTAGTTCATCTTATTTTTTGAAATTTTTTGGAATTTAAAAGTTGAGTTTTGAAATTTTGTTACATGGCAGATGTATATCTGTATACAGATATACATATATATATTATATATATATCTGTTATATATATATATATATATATATATATATATATCTGAAATAGTTTTATAACAAAATTAACACCGTAACTTAATTTATAATTCACTAATTACAATTTTAAATATAATCGTATATGTAAATTATATATGTAAATATATAAAACACACACGTGTGTGTGTGTGTGTGTGTATTTTATATATTTACATAATTTACATATACGATTATATTTAGAATTGTAATTAGTGAATTATAAATCAAGTTACGGTGTTAATTCTATTATAAAACTATTTCATAGTAAAAATATGATAAAAATATGGAATATGAAAAAAAGAAGGAAATCAAGTATTGCAAATATTTTTACATTTTGTGTTTTAGCTTATTTATTAGCGGATCAGGGGTACGATGTTTGGTTGGCTAATATGCGTGGTACTACTTATTCGAGAGAGCACATTTCCCTATCAACATCAGATTGGAAATTTTGGGATTTTAGGTACTCTTAAAATAAAAAAAATAATTTTTTGAATTTAGATAGTTTTTCCTTTAGTGAAGTTTTCGTAAATGCAAATTTAATATAATTACAACAAAATTAAGAATTAGCATTTTCCTAAATGCATCTCATATTTATTTTTCAATATACCAATACGGTGCTTTCTTATTTTTATGAATAAATAATTTTTGTTATAAAATTATCAAAATTTTTACACATAAAATTTTTTATACATATTACTTAAAGACTCGAGGAAACAGCTAATACATTCATCTAAAATTTTAAAAAACTATTTCGAAAACAAATGCATTTTTGAATACTTTATTAAAAATTTTTTGAGTTTTTGGATAAACAATATGGGAATGACGTTAAATTTATATACATATATGTATACATATATTATATAAATATTATTGTACCATTTGTTAATACATTATAATACATGCATAAAAATATTGAGGTAAGATAATCAGAAATTGAATATTTTACGATATATTTTATAGTATTATATGTATAAAATTATATTTCATTAAAGTATAAAATAATTTGAAAACCATTAAATATCGCAAAAATAATTAAATATCTTTATCACTTTTATACACAATTTGTAAGATATTGATTTTTTTTTAATGAAAAAATATAATAATCCCATTTAAAAAATTCATGCTGTTTAGTACGATTCTAATAATATTATCTAAGGTTCAAACCGTAAAACCAATTAAATTTTCTTCAAATATTTTTAACATTACAATTCTTGTTTACAACATATTTCTTTTTAAAATATTTCCTTTCCGAAATATTGGACATTTCTGGACTTATCGCGCACTTTATATATATATATGTGTGTGTGTGTGTGGTGTGTTTGTGTGTGTATATATATATATATATATATATATATATATATATATATATATATAATTTAATATCATATATATGTATATTAATATTATATATACAGAAGTATATGTACAAATGTGTGTGTGTATATTTCAATATTTTATAAAGATATAGTATTGTATTTTCTATCAGCTTTCACGAAGAAGGAATGTATGATGTGCCCGCGATGATTACATATATCACAAATATGAGATCACAACCATTGCACGCGTACATTGGTCATTCTATGGGCACAACAGCTTTTTACATAACGATAGTAGAGCGTCCAAAATTTGCTGAAATGGTGAAAATGATGTTCAGTTTCGGACCAGCAGTTTTCGTAGACCATATGAAAAGTCCAATACGACCAGTACTTTATTTGATAAAAGAGTTTCAGGTAATAAGACAACATATGTGAAAATACTATTAGAAAATAAATTATATTGTAAAATAATTGTATAGAACATTATTTTTACTTTATTTGTTAAAAGAAATTAAGGTAATAATATAATAGGTAAAAATACTATTAGAAAATAATTCATATTGTATAAAATAACTGTTTAGAATACTATATTAAATTTTTAATATTTTCTTAAATACTATAAATAAATACATACACTGAAAAAAAACTATTGATTTCAAATAAATATATATTTCAATAGTGCCATTAACACCTGTTTTGTTTGAAACTAATAATATTGATTTGCTGTGAAAAAATACTTATTTGATAAGAAATCCTTTTTCAAAATAGATAAATATTTATTTGCTTCAAACAAATGGTGTTAATGGCATTATTGAAATAGATATTTATTTGAAATCCATAACTTTTTTTAGTATATAAGAAAATATATATTTCTCTAGCATGAATACTGAAACACCAATAAATTTCATGTTAGACGATTGAACAACTACGAATAGCCAAAAAGATAAAAAATAACTGTATTTTATTATTAAAACTTATTTTATAGTATTTAAGATCTTGCAATTTATTTTAAAAGTTAATGTTAGAAATTATTAAAAAAAAATTATAAAAAATAATATTTTTGTTGTTACAAAATAATGCATAAACAACACAACATTCTATATATCTTCCCAGATAACAAGCTTACGTCATTAAACGTCAAAGTAACGTCATTTTGACGTCAGCTTACTACCTGGGTTGTTCAGGATTTTTAAAAATACTTTATAAAGTAGCTCGTTGCCATTATTTGTTACTGTTTTTAAAAACTAATTTGTTACAATTATTGTTAATATTATAATTTCTTTAAAAAAATCTTAATTTTCTTATTCTTTAAAAATATCCTAAAAGTTTGAATGTATTTATTTACGAGTAAATTATCATGATAAAATAAAGAAATTTTTGATTGCAGCCACTATTGCGAGTTTTGTTCCATAACGAATTATTTCCGCAAGATTTTTATAACACACTAAAGACGTTACTCGGTTGCAACCTGGATTATTACCAATCGGAGTTCTGCGTCAATAATTTATTATTTAATCCCCTCGGTTACGATCCCGAGCAATTAAATTTTGTGAGTAATAATTCTTCTGCATATTATAATAATAAATTAAGAAGGCTCTAATATACAAAAAAAAATTGGATGTAAAAATAGCTAATAAGAATCAGATGCATATATTAAACATGACAAACTTGTATTTATATTCTTCTCTAATTATTTAAAAAAACTTCTATTTTTATTTTTCTTTACTTGCTTAGTAATTCTCTTTATATATTTTATATAAAAGTAACTAGAGCAGAATTTAAAAATTATTTACTTATTGTGTAAAATATTATAAATTTATATTAAAAATTAAAATATATTATAACTTGATATTAGAAAAAAAGAGACAGAAAAAAATGAAAAAGAAATTTACATGTTAGTAAATTATATTATATAAAATAATTAGAGAAGAGTGTACACAGACAAGTTTGTTGCGCATAATATCTGCGTCTAATTTTTATTAAATCTTTTCATATATTTCCTAATCTTCCGTAATAAAATGTCGCGATGGAAGTATGATCCTTACGTTTCAGGATCGTGCGATTATACTTCCCAATAAGCAAAAAGTCATTGCTATAACGTTATTACTCATACAGCACAACAAGATTGCAGCAGCATTGTGGCAACATTTCATCGCAATGTTACAACATTGCATAAACATTGTGAAATGTTGCAGCAATCTTGCTGCAAGGTTGCAGCAACGGTAAAATGTCCGTTTTCAGAAACATTGTTCAATAAAATATATATGTAATATTATTATTGAATTATTGGAAATGTACCAAATACATGATCGGACTGAATGTTTTGTACCTAATATTTTTTGCGTAAATTTTATTTTTATAATATTTCTGAAATGTTGCTGCAACGTTGTTAAACTATATTGCAAATTTATGCCTATATAATATTTCCGCAATATTGCTATACAATATACAATACTGTAATGTTGTTGCAATATTGCTGCAAACTTGAGTGATGTATAGAATTGTTGTCAAGTATGTAGTTTTTAACATTGTATGCAACATCATGAATAAACTTTGACATTGATTTAAAGGTTTTGGTAATGTTATTAAATAATATTTTAAAAATATTTATAAAACATCAGTTAAAATACTTTTTGAAATATTTATTAATAATATTTTAAACATATTTATCAAACATTCACAGCAAACACAGTATATAAATGTTATATACTTAAGCATGTTACATGTAACGTATATGTTAGTTGTAATTTCCCACTCATAGATGTAACATTTTTAATATTACATATATTACATTGTAGTTATATTGTCATTATATCCTAAGATAGCACTGACTTATCAATACATCAATGTGCTATTTGGTAATATATTGATATATAATTACAATATAACTACAATACAATGTAATATATGTTATATTAAAATATTACATCTATGAGTGGAAAATTACAACTAATATGGATGTTACATGTAACGTACACGTTATATATTACCTCCCAATAAGCACAAGTACATCCTACGTACGTACAACGGATGTCCGGTCGGACATTGTGTACATCCATCGGATGTCCAGATTACCTGCAGCGGACGTACAAAGGACCGTCCATTGTACGTCCGTTTGCAACTGGTCTGAACGTCCATAAGTCGTCCATTATTGGTCATTTATGGATTTTAAATGGATAAATTATATATCTAACGGACGAATTTTGGATCTCATATAAACTAATTATGGATCTAATGGACGAATTTTGGATCTTTTATGAATAAATTTTAAATCTTTAATAAACATATTTTGGTTCTTTATTATACATGTATATCGTTGAAAATGACATTTAAAATTCATAAAGAAGAAATTTATAAGCAATAATAAATTTGACATGCAAAATTAATTAATTTTTATACTAATCATAAAATATTGCAGAATATTTCTTATTTTCGCATTTTATTTATCCGAATTTTTATTTGTTCAATTTTTTCAATTAATTCAATATCTAAATTTTTTGTGTTGGGATAGTATCAGAAAGGTTAAACTGATCAAAATAATTATAACATATTTAACTGTAATAGCCACTTTTTGCATGCGCTTTATAATTCTCTTAACTAAATTTAATAGCGAGATGAACAGCGAATCTTGCGTCGCATAGCGGCAAATGAAGGAACTATTACAAGATAATATTGCATAGTATATTTTGCAATGTCTCTAATAAAATATTAAATTTATAATATTTGCACAATGTTGCTTCAATATTTATTATGATACAATAAAATAAAATATTTATGCAATATTTTAGCAATATTTCGTGCTGTAAGAGAATTTGATGGACATCCTGTGAACGTCCAAATATTAGTCACTGATGGATGTCCGAAATCGGATGTACAATGGACGTTCATTTCATGTCCATGGACGTACATACGTAAAATGAATATAAAATGAACGTCCATAGGACGTCTTGTGCTATCTGGGCTGTTATATTCCGTTTTATTATAGCAATGTAACAATTATATATCGGTGTTTGCTGGGTTATATCATAACGTTTAGAATATTTATATAATATCAACATTTTAAAACGTTGATTAAAAATTTCTTGCTTATTGGGTTCAGATTTAACCTCGTATACAAATACACATTTGTTATATATATATTTTTACTCCTTATTTAGACTCGGTTGCCTTTCATCGTGAGTCACCTACCTATCGCCGTTTCGCTTAGGACTATGGTGCACATTGTTCAAATAATTGAATCGCGTACGCCTCGTCAATACGATTACGGTCCAGAGAAAAATCTCTTGATATATAAATCGGTAGAACCTCCAACGTACAATCTATCGAGTATCAAGGTACCGACAGTAATATATTACGGCGACAACGACTTGTTTATAGATCCCATTGTAAGTAATGAGAAAGTATTTAAATTATAAGATTTTATAGTAAAGATTAAGACTTGCGACTATATAAATGTAGATAATATTTCATATTTTTATAATCGGAATAATTGCTCTTAAAAGAAATTATTACATATGATAATTCAAAAAATTTCTTCAAGGATGTAAAGAGGTTTTACCATTTTCTACCCAACGTAATAGATATGTACGAAGTGCCGTGGGCCAATTTTAATCATATGGACTTTATATTTGCTAATGATGCGCCAAAGCTTTTGTACGAAAGAATTTTGAAGATCATGAGAGGAAAATATTAAAATAATGTTAGTTCACATTATCAATGTATGTATTATCATATCGTCGTTATATACATTTTGAGGATATGATAATAATACATTGATGATATAAATTATGGAAATTAAATAAATGAATAAATAAAATAATTAATTAGTTCAGTGGTTTAAAGTACCCAAAAATCACTCTCTAGTTGTCTACGTCTTTTGTAATATATTATTATTATTTTAGAAATTTATTAGAGATTTAGAGATTTTTTATATATGCGCATATACATTGAATTATATACAGATTGTTTCTGATACATACACATTATTATATCGGGTTGCCTATCTGCTTACCGACTGGGACATGCTTTATGAGAAAAAGAAGTCGACTTTATCACTTCAAAGTATACAGTATAAACACTTGTGAAATTGGATAATATAGATAATATTTACAATTAATAATATAGATAAAATAATGTAAGTAAAATTTAATAATCTTTTACTAATTTTTCATTAAAAAATATTTTTTAATTTATCTATAATAAAATTTTTATCTATAAATATAATAAGTCATATAATAGAATTAATCTATAAATTTATTGAGTCATATAATAAATGTATTATATGACTTATATATTTAATATAAATTTATTATATGACTTATATATTGATAAATAAAAATTATATTAAAGATAAATTAAAAAATATTTTTTAGTAAAATTTTAGTAAAATTTTAGTAAAATTAGTAGCCTTTAATAATATTTATCGTTTTTTTATAATTATTTTATTTAATTTGTAGTATCGTTTAAACGCAGTGGCTATTAAACTTTTTTCCTTGTTTTAAAATACGTAATAATATGAACACACACACACACACACACACACACGGAGTATCTTACAACTTTCGTATACAAATTTTTTTCGAAACCAATAGCATATAGTTTTCGTCAAATTAAATAGTTTCAATATTTGTTGTACATCTTGTGTATATAGTTGTGTATATATAGTTGTGCATATGTATATGAAATGTATATTCAAATGTAAGAAGCATTTTGCAGTTCATTATATTATATATGATTAAATTGATATATGTATATACGATATATGGATATGATAAATCATATGATATATGATAAAGTTTTATTTTATATTAAAAACATTTGTGTGCTATATTTTTTACAACAGTTGATTCCTCTCATTAAGTCGTCAATAAAATTATATATATATTGAAATAAGATCATTAGTAAATGAATTTTATTTATATTTTATTGGATATTTCAGAGTTTATATAAAATTGATATCGAATTAAAGTATAAAATATCTCATAAACCATTAACTTTTTGATTATCCTAATTTTTTAATATTATATGCAGAATATTACGAGAAATCGATTAAAAAAATATATAGAAAAAATATTGTGGTTCTTTAAAAAATTTAAGATTATTTAACCTTGTATTGCCAATACTACCCAAACTCAAAAAAATGGTGAAATCAGTAAATAAATATTTTCGAACTATAATATTATCTATAGAAATTTCTTTATATATATATAAAACTTATATTATTCGAGATATGTTCCGGGGTTTCGATATTTGCGGAAAAAATCTGTATGTATATATATACATATATATATATATATATATATATATATATATATATATATATATATATACATACAGAATGTCTCATTTTAACTTTGATTATCATTATAATATTCCTTTCTTTAACTTCTTTAAAGAAAGAATATGCATATAGACAGGACGATTCAAAAGTACGAATGCACGAGTTTTGATAGATTGTTTGTGAGATCATTCTGAGTACAAAATATTATATGAATATAAATCCTATTCTTAACACGTAGAAAGTACAGAAGTTTTCAAAATTTTGTTTTTCTCATAATAAAATTACATGATTCTAAGAAAGTAATTTCGAGAAATCATAATAAAACGGGAAAATATGTATAAACATTATTTATTAAACAATTAATTTAATAAACAAATGTTTAAAATGTGCTTCCTGAGCTTGAATGCAGGCATTGCAAAGAAGAATCAAGGAATCGTATGTACACGATACATTACATATTAGTCATGAAAATTGCATTTGCATCAATAATTCTTTAATGCATGCTTCCACTGATACATTGTTTTTTTACAGCCTGTTTTTACCTATTTTTCAACAAATTAGGCTTTTTCATACTTTTTTTCATACTTGGATATTGATTGGCTGTTTATCATTAATATATAAATTATTAGATAAATTTTTTTTAATTATAATACATTATATGCAGTTTATCTCTCTAATAAAATTATAGTATATTTAAAGTGGTTAAAAATAAATACATAATTACATGTGTATTATAATTATGAAATAATCATTAAAGTTATTCCAATAACGATGACATATGTAAAAGAAAGATATGGATAACAATATTATGCTCTACAATTTCTTTCTAAAATAATTTTAATTGAGTTTTACACTTTACCTTGTAGGAATACAATAATTATCTTATAATTTCTGAAAATTATAATTATATACTTAATTAGATATTAATGTTTATTCGATTTTATTTTAGATTTTCTCATTATTCACTATCGATAAAATCTTCGAATTATTATGTATCTAGTATTACAATACCGATTACAATATTTTATGCCAACTACCATTTGATGGTCGATCCTGTTGTGCGAAATACAGGTAATCCCGTTGTAAAAAACATTGATAAAAAGAAAATTATTAATTATAATAAAGATTGTTTTGTATAAAAAGTTAGTTTTACTAAATTGAAAAAGTAGTTTAAAAAAGTAATAGTTATATAAAAGAAACTCGAATGAAAACTTAGAAAAATATTTTTTCAAGGATGAGAAAAGATTATATACAATTTACTGCCGAACGTATTTGTGTGACACAAAGTGGCCTAATTTTAATCACGTGGACTTTATATGAGTCGAGAATGAGCCTACACTTCTGTACAAAAAAGTTTTTAAAATTATGAAAGGGAAATATATATATATATATATATATTATATATATATATATATATATATATATATATATATATAAATACTATAATTCAATGATTCAAAGTACTCAAAAATATCGTTTGCTAGATGTCCACGCCTTTTACATTATATTATTATAATTTTAACAATTTATAAATTTTTGATACATGTACAATATGGATTATATACATATTGTGGCAATAAATGCCACAAGAACATAAAATATATATAAAAATAAAATTTAAATTACAAGCGACGAGTGTTAAAGATATCGCGACCGGTGTCACAAAACAATAAATAAACAAATAAGCGACTAACATGACGAAGGTAAATTTCAATTTCCGAACATAATAAAAAGCGAGAGTACCTCAAAATAAAAGATAGTCTAATCACCTAAAAATAAAAATAAGGTCGTGGAATGATCGAGAGAAGCGAGACAATGCGCGGCCTCGAAGAGGCAGATAGAATTTGACTTAAGTTCGCGTAACACGGTTTTTCTCGGTGAAGAGTAAGAAGTTTGTATTAGATCTTTGTGACACGAATAAATGCAGTAAAATACAATATACTTTGCACCCTAAATTAATATTTCCGGATAAAATATCCTCTCCCAATCCGCGATAGTGGCGAAACATTAACTATCGAACAAGCACACGCCCCAAAATATTATATCTACATATAATATATGAAAAAAATCTACAAATGGTTGAATCAATACGTAGATGACTCGTGGTCGATAATACAGTGAATCATTTGTTCTTTACATCAATCTGTAATTTATTCTTTTTTCATTAGTGTTATATCACAAGTCATCAATGCAGCATTCATAAATAGTGGACAAAACGTTAATGCGCGCTCAGTTATTATTCATTTGACTAACTGGTTTCATTCAATAATATATATACCAGAAGACTCTCTCAAATTGTCCATTTTCATTCACTGTTTAGTGAATTCACTTATGGATGGAATAAAATTGATCGGATTTATGTGTTTGTTATTGTTTTACGCTTGTCTTGATAGGAATGCAACCACCGAGTCAAACGAGTCCAAGGAAAGCATAATTCGACCTAAATAAAACAACGCAGAAATCAATTCCGATTTAATTCTCAGCACTGTAAGTATAAACGTTTAACTAAACAAAATGCGTATTAAAGTTTTCATTATTCCAGTTAGATTAATTTCTTCATCGCTGTGAAGAATTGATTAAAAACGCGATCTTTTATATATGCCACTTAAATTAATTTGCGCCCGCTAATTGTAAGTCATATAAATATAATAGCATCATTCCTTATACCAAAAAATATTTTTTTTTACGCGATTTCTTTCTATATTACTTAATAAAGAAATAATTATTGAATAAAGAAAGGCTACAAAAGCTTAGCTTTGAATTATATACTTAGGGGACGTGAATTAAGTGACACTCTGTATACCGTTCTTGCCTCTTTTATTGTTCATAATCGAAATCGAAATTTCCCAAAATTAGATGTACATCAACTTTAAGTAAGTAGTCTTTATAAATATTTTATATACTTTTTAGAACCATTTTATTTAATTTGTAATTTCGTTTAAAGTTAATTGCTATTTAATGTGTATCTTTGTTTTAAAATACGTCATATAATGAACATGTACAAACCCAGCAAACACGGTATATAAATGTTATATACATCAAGCATGTTACATGTAACGTATATGTTAGTTGTAATTTTCCACTCATAGATGTAACATTTTTAATATTACATATATTACATTGTAGTTATATTGTCATTATATTACAAGATAGCATTGACTTATCAATACATCAATGTGCTATTTAATTGGTATATAATTACAATATAACTACAATGTAATATACAATATGTTATATTAAAATGTTACATCTATGAGTGGGAAATTACAATTAACATGGATGTTACATGTAACGTACACGTTATATTACCTGTTATATTTCGTTTTATTATAGCAATGTAACAATTATATATCGGTGTTTGCTGGGATAATAATGAAAAAATCTACTGACGTTGTCAAACTATTGAATCCACTGACATGGTCAATAACGTAGTGCGTCGCCTTTGCTCTTTCCATCAATCTGTAATTTATTTTTTTCTTTTATTATAATATCACAAGTCATCGATGCAACATTATTAAATAGTGGACAGGATGTTAATCCACTCAGTCTTCTTTATTCATTTCGCTCGCTTGTTTTCTGCCCTTTTCGATAATACATATCCCGATACTCCAGAAAACTCTCGAGTTGTCCGTTTTCTTTCACTGTTTATTATTGCTAATTATGGATGGAATAAAATTGATAGGATTTATGTGTTTATTGTCGTTTTACGATTGTCTTGATGGGGCGATCATCTTGCCAAACAAACCCGTGGAAAGAATAATTCGATCTAGAAGGAACGACGAGCTCAATTCAGAATTAATTCTCAGTACTGTAAGTACACACTTTTAACTAACTGAAATGAGGATTAAAGTTTCCATTATTCGACGTCAAATCAAAATTGATTCAACCAATTCGACATTGATTCGACGTCGAATCGACGTTAATTTATCTATCATTTCTCGCTGGGATATGCAAATTTAAATGTAAACATAAGAAGCAGTTTTACAATTCATTATATATCATTAAATTGATATATGTTTATACATGAACATAATGATACATATATAATTATGTATAATAATAACTCCATTTTATCTGAAAAACAATTATGTACGTTATCTGTTTTACAGCAGTTAATTTCTCTCGTGTTATACATACAGTTATTGATGTTAGATCATCAGAAAATGAATGTTTCACTCGAATATTTCAGAATGTATATAAAGTTGATATCGAATTGAAGAATAAAATATCTCATTAACTATATGCACTTCTTGATCATTCTAATTCTTTTAATTGTTTATGCAGAATATTATGAGGAATCGATTTAAAAAATATATTAAAATATGCTGTGGTTCTATTTAAAAAATTCGAGATTATTTTACCTGTCGTTGGCAGTATCACTCAAAGTCCAAACAAAATCAGTAAAGAAGTGTTTTCAAACTACAATTTCTACCTAAAGCATTTTTTATAAAACATATTTTTCAAGATATTCCGGTGCCTCGAACTTTGCGCATGATGAATTGAACACTCTAAACATACCCAGCAAACAGTATATAAATGTTATATACTTAAGCATGTTACATGTAACGTATATGTTAGTTGTAATTTCCTATATTCATAGATATAACATTTTTAATATTACATATATTACATTGTAGTTATATTGTCATTATATCCCAAGATAGCACTGACTTATCAATACACCAATGTGCTATTTGGTATATAATTACAATATAACTACAATATAAAATATGTCATATTAAAATGTTACATCTATGAGTGGGAAATTACAACTAACATGGATGTTACATGTATCGTACACGTTATATTACCTGTTATATTCCGTTTTATTATAGCAATGTAACAATTATATATCGGTGTTTGCTGGGTTTATTATAATATCCTAAAAAGGATGCTGAACTGACGGCCGAACTCCGATAAGGTAGCACCACACATAACCGCACGTATACATATATACACATGCATACACACACATATGCGTGAAAATTTATTAATATATAACTTTTTTATTAGATTTGTAATCTCGCTTCTAATTGTTATCTCTATTGCGCGAGCTATATATCTTATGCACAGACAAACTGCAGAACTTTTTTTATTAAATAAGTATTCTTACGAACTGACACAAAAGAAGCCGATAACAAAACTGTAATTTTTCATTTTTATATCATTTATATATGGAATTATAGCTAGCGCGGTCCGTTTTTATAAGTATTTTAATCGTGGAAAAGGATTTATTAATCTGTATAATCAATAAAAAGATATCCCAAAATAATCAATATTCGCATACGGTCGGTAAAAATTAACATATCTGCAGCATCCGCTTAAAGGATTTAACATGAATAAAAATATTTTTGTGAATAAAAAAATTATGAAATAATTATAAAAATTTATTCAATAACGATAATATACGTAAGAGAGAGATATGGACAGCAATATATATAATCCTCTACAATTTCTTTGTAAAATAATTTTAATTGAGTTTTACACTCACCTTGCAAGAATATGGTTATTCTATAATTATATTTTGAATATTATAATTCTATGCTTAATTAGATATCATTAACGTTTATTTTATTTGATTATAGATTTTATAATTATTCACTATTATATTATTACCATATAATTATTCTTTATATTTATCACATATTGTATATGACCTTTCATATTTATATGTTGTTATTACAAAACGCTACACATTAATATAAAAATAAATTATACTTCCATTTTATTTTTTCTCCTTTTAGCCAGAGATAATTAAAAAAACGGGTTATCCTTTGGAAACTCACGTTGTAACAACAAAAGATGGCTATATTTTGACATTACATCGTATCCCAGGTGAAAACGGCTCTCTACCTGTTTTACTAGTACATGGTGCTTTTAGCACTGACATTGTTTGGATCACTCTTGGCAAAGGCAAAGCACTTGGTAAAACTTTTTAATTAATCATCAAAAGATTATACCAGCAGTGTCAATCGGATCACATTATTAAGAGGATGCCGACCGAACGATTATTTATTTTTTTTTTTAGACAAGTAATTCTTTTCATTGGCACTTTATACATACAAAATAATACCAGCACCAACTTGAAATTCAATGAAGGAATATAAGTGAATGTTTAGATATCAATTTGTAAGCCTAGTAAAAGAGAATTGCTGATCAAAAATTTTCGTGCATATGTGAATGTGCACACACATTAGATAAACTATTCTCTTTTACTAGGTTTCCAAATTGATATCTACAATAAATATTCACTTATATTCCTTTATCAATTCGAACTTTGTGCTGCTCTTATTTTGTATGTTTCTCTCTGGTATGTATAAACTGTCAATAAATATAATTACTTGTCTAAAAAGAAATAATCGCTCGGACAATAAATACGGCAGCAGCTTCTTAATCTTATTTTTAATTAAAAAGTATCTAACAATAAGAGAAAAATATCGAATTTAAATAACAAAAAAAACATTTTAATGCGCTTTTAATTGCGATTAATTTTTAGTTCAACTTATTTTAAAAAAGTTTTTTAAAGAAAGTTAAATTTCTAAAATTTGTTACATGACAGGTGTAAGTATATATTTTTATATGCACATATTTTACATATTTATGTATTTTACGTATATGATTTTACTTTAGAAATTGTAATGAGTGAATTATAAATCAAATTACGGTTTTAATTTTGTTATAATCATATTTCTACGAAAGAATATTACAAAAAATATCGAATATGAAAAAAAGATACAAATAATAATATGTTGCAAATGTTTTTAATTTTGTGTTCTAGCTTATCTATTAGCGGATCAGGGATACGATGTTTGGTTGGGCAATTTACGTGGTACTACTTATTCGAGGGAGCACATTTCCCTATCAACATCAGAATGGAAATATTGGGACTTTAGGTATTCTCATAAAATTTAAAAATTTTTTTTTAAAGTAAATAGTTTTACTTTTTTGTGAAGTTTTCTTAAATACAAATTTATTAAAATTGCAATAAAATTAAAAATTATATTTTGTGGCAAACATCTCATATTCATTTATCAATATTCCAATATAGTGCTTTCCTGGTTTTTTATTTTTTTGTATAAATAATTATTCGTAATAAAATTTTAATAATTCTGTTATAAATAATGTAATAAAACATTTGCACGCAAAGTATTATACATCAAGTAATAATCCATGTTAAGGATAGTGACAGTGACTTTTCCAGAGATATTTTATTTAAGTTTATGTAAAAAATTTTGTTGGTGACCGCAAAGTGCGTTTTCCAGACTTGATATAAGACTAATTAATATTTATTTACATTAATAAACATTAATATTTACTATACATACATGTATAAAAAAAAAAATATTGAGATTAAAATCTTTGAAAATTAAATATATTACAATATATTTCATAATATATACATATGTGTATACAATTGTTCAGTCACATTAAAGTATAAAATACATATATATGTATAAATGTATATCCATATGTAAATACATATATGTATATGTATAAAATTATTTAGTCACATTAAAGTATTCAAGTGCGGAAAGTTGACAATTGGTCACGAGTGCGGGGGATGGACGCACGAGCCGAAGGCGAGTGCGATCACCCCACACGAGTGAACAATTGTCAATCCGCACATGATACACATACTATTTTGTATTACAAGTGCAGGCAAAGTGACTTCGTGCGCATTTTTTGTGCGCGAAATGGCCGATCGCACACCGCCATCTTGCGGCGGAACGGTGCGGGAATAGCCGTGGACAATGACTTTAAACGCGGCTCAGCCGTAGGCAATGGCTTTGAATGCGGCTTATTCACTCACCGCGTCGCCGCTATATGGCGGCGTGAGAAATCGACCGCTTTCCGCATAGAAAACACGCACACAAAGTGCTACTTTGCCTGCACGTGTAATACAAAATACATTATAAACAATATCGAATTTTTATTATTATAGCTTTATAACTTCTTATGCAGAATATTCTAATTAAAAAATTAATTTTTACCTAAACAAAAATACCTATAATAATCACAATTCTAAAAATTCAAGCTGTTTTAATATCATCTTAATAATATCATCTAATAAGTTTTTTAAACATTTTTTATCATAATTTTTATTTCCAACGTTTTTTAAAATACTGGACAGTTCCGGACTTATAGCACACTTTATAAATGTATAATTTTATATAATATTAATCATATACATATATGCGTATATACATATATTATATATATACAGAAGTGTATATTATCATGTATGTGTATATATACTCAGCAAACACAGTATATAAATGTTATATACTTAAGCATGTTACACGTATATGTTAGTTGTAATTTCCCACTCATAGATGTAACATTTTTAATATTACATACATTACATTGTAGTTATATTGTCATTATATCCCAAGATAGCACTGACTTATCAATACATGAATGTGTTATTTGGTATATAATTACAATATAACTACAATGTAAATATGTTATATTAAAATGTTACATCTACGAGTGGGAAATTACAACTAACTGGATGTTACATGTAACGTACACGTTATATTACCTGTTATATTCCGTTTTATTGTAGCAATGTAACAATTATATATCGGTGTTTGCTGGGTATATATATATATATATATATATATATATATATATATATATATATGTATATGTACGTGTATATATATTTAAATATTTTATTATGATGATATATTGTATTTTCTATCAGTTTACACGAAATGGGAATCTATGATGTACCAGCGATGACTACATATATCACAAATATGAGATCACAACCATTGCACGCGTACATTGGTCATTCTATGGGCGCAGGAGTTTTTTACATAATGGCAACAGAGCGTCCAAAAATTGCTAAAAAGGTGAAAATGATGATCAGTTTCGGACCAGGAGCTTTTGCAGATCATATGAGAAGTCCAATACGACTAATACTTTATTTGATAAATGAGATTCAGGTAATATATATGTGAATATTATTAAAAATAATTCATATTGTAAATAACTGTTTAGAACACTATTTTTCTGTCAAAACAAACAAAACATGATTTTATCTTTTATTTATATCTTTGATATAAAATATCGCTTCTATACATTATCTTAATTCAGTGGTTCTTAACCGGTGTTCCACGGAACATTAGTGTTCCGCGAACGTGTTACAAGTGTTGCCCGAAATTATAAAAGCACAGCATATCTATACATAGAAAAAACTACTATAATTTTTTTTAATTTTATGAATATTATTTTTAAATTTAAATTTAAATTTAAATTTTTTTACTGCTACATAATTTGTACTGTATAATTTTTAATAAAAAATATATTTATGCATATTTTTGTTATTATATACCTTTATAATATTAATGATTTTGGTGTTCCGCAAATTTTTCTTATAATCAAAAGTGTTCTGTAACTTTAAAAAGGTCATTAAGAACCACTGTCTTCATTCATATAATAATACGCTGAGAAATTTATATTTTCTTATTCTTTAAAAAAATTCGACTAAAAATTTGAAGGAGTATAGATTTAAGAATAAATTATTATCATGAAATAAAGAAATTGTTAATTGCAGCCAATATTGCGATTATTGTTCCATGGCGAATTATTCCCGCAAAGTGCTTATAACATACTAAAGATGTTAATTGGTTGCAACCTGAATTTTTATTTTGCGGAGGTGTGCGCCAATTTTCTCATATTTACTCCCAACGGTTACGACCCCGAGCAATTAAATTTAGTGAGTCATAATTCTTTCGGCAAATTATAATAATGAATTACAAAGGGATATACTAATATACAAACACAAAACCACATATAAAATGACTAATAAAAATTAGGTGCTTATATTAAACACGACAAACTTGTCTCTATATTCTTCTCTAATTAATTAATTTACACAAAAAATAATTTTATTGTTATTTATCTTTATTTGCTTTGTAATTTCTTGTCAAATGTTTTATATTAAGATAACTAGAGAGAAGAATTTAAAAATTATTTATTTGCTGTATAAAATATATTATAAAATTATATTTTTAAATTATATTATAAATTTGTAATATTTAATATTCGGGAAAAAGGAGAGAAGGAAATTCAAATATTTATAGTATCACGCTACCGATGGCGATATACTACAGCAACAACGACTTGTTTGCAGATCCCATTGTAAGTAATGAAAAAGTATTTATTTATTAATAGTTTAGAAGTTTTTATAGTAAAGATTGTGACTTAACTTTGTATATATGTAGATAAATTTTCGTATCTTTATAATCGGAAATATAAGAAATTTTCGCGCATAATAATTTAGAAAACGTTTCTTCAAGGATGTGAAGAGGTTGTACAATTTACTACCCAACGTAATAGATATGTACGAAGTGCCGTGGCCCAGTTTTAATCACGTGGACTTTATGTGGGCTAAAGATGCGCCAAAGCTTTTGTACGAAAGAGTTTTGAAGATCATGAAAGAGAAGTATTCAAGCATTTTGTAACCACGATATGGTAATTAAATACATAGGTGATCTGAATATTGCACACTAAACTCTAGTATTGAATACAACTCAGATAGCACCATGTCTAAAATTGGAACATAAGATATCATTACAAAATCTTTATTAAGACATCTTTAAGAAATCATATGATATGATATCCCAAAGACCTTAAAAGCCTCTTAAAGATGTCTTATGCACCAATTTTGGACATGGTGCTATCTGGGAATTGATGTCATGTGTTAATTTTAATAGAATACATTTACTGCAATAAAATAATATTAATATTAAATAATTAAGAGTAATATTAAATAGGCAAAAGTATACTAAATCGTATCCTCTAAGGTAAATTTTAAACTGCTTTCAAAGAAATAACGCAATTTTTTAGTTATTTGTAACTATATGTTTTTTCGTTAACAATTTATGCCTAATATTAACACAAATTTATCATTTATCTTTCAAGATTGTTTCTTTTAATCTTATATTAGGTATATATTTGCATCTTTCGTGAGATGTGTCTCACATCTTGCGATTGTAACGATAAAGAAAAACAGAAATATAACATAAAATAAAGTTCAAGAAAATCTATATTAAATAATATAATATAATAAACTGTTTTTTTTATTTAAATACTCATCCTATATTAACTGATATTCATTCATTGAGGTAACGGATATGGTAACAATATTCTACAATCTACAGTCTACAATCTGTATTCTAAATCTACATCTCTACAGTAAAAGCAACCGTTACCTCGTAATAAAATAATAGTTTTTTACTTACTAATCGATGTGCAAACAGCAGAGTTAACCGCATCAAAGCTACGTTGCTCTTCAACATATACATATAAATATAATATAAATTTATAGCAGCACTTTAAATAATTAATATTTCTAAAAATTACCCAGTTGCAAGCTTACGTCATTAAATGTCAAAATGACGGCATTTTGACATCGAATGACGTCATTTTGACGTCAGCTTGCTACCTAGGATAGTATTTTACATTAAATTTTATATTCGAAACGTACAATAAGTAAATATATAATTGAATACTTTTATATATTTTGTAGATTATTTTTTAATATGACTTTTTATAATAGGTATTTATAAAAAATATTTCTCTCCAATTTTTTTTTATTTAATTTATCCAAATATGCATATAAATAGAATAAATTTATATGCGTAAAAAATACATAATTTATAACAAGTCAAATATTATATATAAACTATATATATAATATTATATAAATATTATTTAATAAATGTTTACCAGAAAGTTGCTCTGCCGGTACCTAATGCCTCCCAGGTCTGCACCTTCGCTCTCAGGTCAAGTTGATTAGGATTGTCCGATAATTATCAAAGTCTGTTGATTTAAACGCGCGATACTTTAAACGACACTCCCGCACTTAAACGCACGACACTTTGCACTCCCGTACTTGAACGACACTTTACGCGATATTCCATTGTGTCTTATTGTTACAAGCTCGAGCAATTCGCTCAATTTTAATGGCAGTGTCAAGCACACCGTGTATGCTCGATTAGTATAATTATCGCCATTTATTAATAATTAATATTCTATAATATTTATATCAATAATATATATATTTATATCTTCTAATGAAAATTATTAATATTAATAAATTAATATTGTATAAAAGAATTTTATTACGGATCAGCAAAAGACTCGATCATTACAATTTTAATCTGTTCGCGGTTTGCATTTCCGAATTACGCGACAGTGCAACTGAGGAATTATAAAAATAAAATAGAATAGAATATAAAGTAACATATGTATAATGCATACTAAAAATTTTTAAATATTATTGCAAATTTTTCTGCAAATTTGATCATTATTACTTTTTCTTTTAGTCAAGATAAAACATATCCGCAAAATATCTGAATATCTATAGCACTCACACGCTAATTTATATAACTTTGTTTTAACTAACTAAATTCAAATTATTAATCAATATGTAAATGAATGGATTAAAAAATATTATATAATATAAAATCTATATTATTATTATAATAAGTGATAATTATGTAATCATTTGCAATAATTTTTATAATTACAATACAATTATTAATAATTATTAATGTTTTTTTAAATAAATTAGTTTAAATATATTATGTATATTACTATAAATAAAATGTTTCTTCTCCTTTCCTTAAACTGTAATATCAATCTTTATCATATTCTTAATTTTTTGTAATCCATTCATAAGGTAACGGAATAACTATCTACAGTTCTACACAGTCTACAAAATCTATAATCTAGAATTACACAGCTCTATACAATCTACAAATTACTTATAAAATAAAAATTTTTCATTCATCCGTCGATGCACGAACAGTGGAATTAACTGCGTTATCTGTAACATATAAATAAAATTCAAATTATATAGCAGCGCTCAAAATAAAATTAATATTTTATAAAATTATTGTGTATATATGCATTAAATTTTCTTTCGATGTGTACAATAATAAACAAAAATTTAATTAAATAATTTTATAAATTTTTATTTAATAATAAATTAAAATAAATAAAATTATTTCAAATAAATTAAATTAATAAACCCATAAAAAGTACTTAATCTATAATTGCTCCATAAGTGCCCAATGTCTCTCCCAGACCTCCTCCTCCTCTCAGATTCTGAAAAATGTCAATTGTATTTTTATCTGTAACATACAAATAATAAATCTTCTTCCATATAGGAATAATAATAAAAGAAACATAATAAAAGATTGAGAGTAAAATCGGCACACTGGCATTACTTGCCAGTTACCTGTTATCAAATTATAACATCGCACAAAAAAATTAATATTTTAAAAAATTATTATCGTATACATTGAATTTTATTTTCCATGTGTACAATAAAACAGAAACATAATTAAATAATTTTATAAATTTTTTTCTAATAATTTCTTTTCAGTAATTAAACTAATAATAAGCTAATAATAAATATATTCCCCCTATGTTTGCTGGTACCTGATGTGCTCCTCAAATCTGCTTCTCTTCTCAAAGTATCACGATCATCATTATGTATTAATCTGTAACATACAAATAAAGTTCAAATTATAGCGTCCAAAATATAATTAATAATTTAGAAAATGATTGTGCGCATTGGATTTTATTTTCCACCTGGGAAAAAATTTGTTATATATAACAATATAAAATTATATAAAAATATATAAAATTATATATAATTGCAAAATTATGTATGAATATATTTATACATAATTAAGATAAAAGTACTTTTTATATATAATTTTATAAATTTATAATATATATATAAATAAGAAATTTATATATAATTTTATATAATTATAAAAATAAGACATATTTCACAATTTACACACACAATTTTAATTTTACAATTATGTATAAATACAATTATTTATACATAATTGTATATACAAATTTTTTTTTGGAACTGAGAAGATAAAAAAATTTTATTCTTGTGCAATAAACTTCGTTCATTAACGAAATACAATCAGATAATTAATGTTTAAATTGTACAGAAGAGAATATATAAATATACACAGATAAATTGCAGAACGTGATCCTCAGCAAAAGTTTATTAAATATCATCGCGAGAAGCCCTTGTAGAAATTTATTACTCGTAACGCCAATTAATCACTTATTTCGAGTACTTAAAATACTGATATACAGTTATTTAAGTACTCGAAATAAGTGATTAAGTACTCGAAATAAGTGATAAATTGGCGTTACTAGTGATAAATTTCTATAAGGGAGTAATGCAATTCAAAGCATAATATGTAAAAATATATGAAAAACAATCAATATAGTGAAAGAGGCCAGCATAACGAGCATTAAATAGAATGTTAGAATCAAAAATTTATTTAATATATTCTACAAGCATTGTTAAACCGAAAAAATATCAATCGAATCGGACAAACCGTAAATTTACAGAATCTCACTCTTAGCTTGTTGACTTAATACAGTTGGAAATGAGATATCTTACCGAACTAGCAGTTATAAAGTTTTTATAAAAAATTTGTTTAAAAAAACGTGAAATCAGTACAAAGAAATTTAAAAGTAAGCCGAACAATTACGTAAGATTTTATAAATTGTGACCGATTGATTATTAATTGATTTGATTGTACGCAGTGCATACAGTTATTAACCATTTCTCGCAAAGAAACGAAGAAATTTCACGGGAAGCATTTTATAGCTTAAGAGCGATCTCTACACAAAAAGATTCATGGACGAAACATCAGACATGACACATTGCGACACGTGACACATTTCTAACATTATTAATTCGATAGGATATTAATGTAATGTGATAGCGGTTAAGATATGACTTGATAATTTATGTAACACTGAAGAAGACTGCGTGCAGTCGAAACGTCTAGATAATTCTTTTATGTAAGATTCTGTATTTTTACGATTTGTCCGATTCGATTGATATTTTTTCGGTTTAACAATGCTTGTAGAATATATTAATTACATTTCTGATTCTAACATTCTATTTAATGCTCGTTATGATGCTGGCCTCTTTTACTATATTGATTGTTTCAACAATATACAAGCAAATATTAAATTCATGTTAATATGAAAATATTTATATGTACAAATATTTTTATTTTTAGAATAATGTATAACCACTCAGAAAAAGCTCTACTTCCCATCCTCACTGCAGCGCTAAGCGCAAAGAGTGAACGGTCATCGATGACAGAGTTCTCGAAACAAGTCAAGAACTCGTGTCGTTCTCACGCTCAGGGAAAAGAGCAATCTTTCCTCATCGTGGTATCTACATCTACTCCCATGTTAGGGAAGTAGAATAAGATCAAATGCTAAATTGTCAAACCGCCTAATGATATAATATGATTTTCGCTTTGATCTTAAAATTCGCAGTTTCTTATACTTGTTATATACTGTAGATATTGAATTTTTATTACGGGTAACACTTTACTGTCATAGCCCCCCAGCGACTAAAAAGGAAACTAATCTAGCACCTTTAAATGCACGTGCTAATGCACATTATATATTACTGCACATAAAGGTTGTTGTATATAAATAATTTTTATTATTTTAATTATTATGCCAAAAATAAAAATATTTATTGTAGATATGAAATAGTTATTTAAGTCATTTTTATATGTTTAATTTTCACATATTTTATATTTTATATGCTTTGAGTCGCATTAATTACTTATTGTCACTGACCGAGAAAAACTTTTTTATATATAATTATATATAAATAATTGTATAATTATACATATAATCGTAAAATGATATGTGAAATCTATCTATTTTTACATAATTATATAAATTTATGTATAAATTATAAGAGTTCATACATATAATCATGTCAAATTATATAAAACATATTATTAAACAAATTACATAAAACATATATATGTATATTTATATATATGAAAAAATTCTTATTTATTATATATATATAAATTTATATAATTATATATAACAAGCACTTTTATCTAATTAGGTATGAATATATTTCATATAATTTTGCGATATGTATAATTTATTTATATATTTCTATGTAATTTTATATTGTTATATATATATAAAATATTTATTCCCGGACATGCGTATAATATTAAGCAAAAATATAGTAAAATATTTTTAGAAATTTTTATTTAATACACAATTATTAAGAAATTAAAATTTATTATAACTAATAAATAAATAATGAATACTAACCTTAGATTGTTCCACCGACATCTAATACCATTCCAGTGAGAAATGATTAGTCGAATCGTCATCGATTCGACGAATTTGACATCGATTCGACAACGAATCGACATCAATTCGACCATCATTTCTCACTGGGATCCCGGGGGCCTCCTTCTTTCTTATTTCACTATATATATTGTCGCTCTTTCGGCACTCACTACAGACAACCATTAATTACAATTAAGCACACACACGTGAAAACAAATAATTATGTATGATTATCCGCGCTCGACATTTTCGACTTTAATAGCGGGCGATGCGATTATAGCTTTTATAGCGGGAAAACAACGCGGGAAAGGCGCGCGAAGCTCGATACCACGACCGCGACATCTCGATATCTCGATATCGATGCCTCGAAAGACCAACTTCGCACACGTACAAATAGGTTAAATGAACAACAATTGAGAACAATTAAAACATATGATTTACTTATTACCAATTAAATGCGTCGCAATTTAGAATCGATCCATGCCGCTTTCACGATGTTTTGTAATATATATTTATGAATTATATATGTTAGCAGCTTTACATTTGATACGATAAATAGTGTCACGCAATGAATGAAGCGAGTAAAATATTTATTTCAAAACAAAACTTGTTATTTCGATACGCTTACGAATTATTTAATCGTAATAGTTAAATAGCTGCACGAAATAATAAATAAATAATAAATTTATTCACTGATTATAAATGCGTCGAGATTCAGGATCGATCTGTCCTGCCTTTGCGATATTTCGTTGTAAAACTCCAGACTCCGAAACCCCGAAATAACATCATCAGCGTCAAGTTGGTTATGACAGGAAAATAAGACAAGAAAAGCGTGCGAAAGTTAATTACGGTCACTATTTTATAACATGTTATTTTAAAATTTAATTATAATTTAATTATTAAATTAACGCTTTAATTAGCTGATTTCTGTCAAAATATTAATAAAACGTTAATTTATTAATTAATTTTTTAAACAATATGTTAAAAATATTAAAATATAAATGTAAATAATAAGCTGTAAATAACATATGCTATTGTTATAATCCTTTAAACTCGATTAATACTTTTTAACAGTTATCAGCTGATTTCTGTCAAAAAATATTCGAGTTTAAAATATTGTAACATATATAATTTATAATATGATTATTTTAATTCTTAATAATATAAATTTTTATTTTAAAGTTTAATTAAGAAACTGTGCTTCAATCTGTCGTTTTCTGTCAAAAAATATTAATCAAGTTTAAACAAACTTTATATTATTTTTTTTCTAGAATATATATAAAATAAAACTAAAAAAAGCAAAGAGTGTCACCTAACTTTCGAAGAGCAAAAATTCTCGCGCCAAAATGAAACGACCTTCGGCTCGTGGTCGACTGCGCGCGCGCATCAGGAAGGATGATCGATCAGCGATTCGATGAATCGAACATCGCCGGTCAGGAGGCAGAGAGCGGACGAAGCGGAAAGAAGCGGAATTTGCGGATACGGTCGCGAGAACAAGAAGCGTACACTCTCTTATGCCGTCTTACGCGACGTGGGTGGAACGCGCTTGGATGCGTGAATATTTTTATTATTCGACCGCGTAACAATTCCTAGCGTGTGAGCGAGACTCCGGTCGCCATCGAGGATCATCCAAGGTAACCAAGGCGGCGCACACCTTAGATAGGGAGGATGAGCGGCGAGAACGAGGTTGCGGAGACACCGCAGTCGAAGGACGAGACCAACGCGGAATCTTTCAAGGAACAGGCGAATCTGTACTTTAAAGGTGCGTCCACGTGGGAGATCGAATATGCAGCCCGCGAATTTTTAATATTTATCGCACAGTCACGTGTATCCCGAACTAACCAAACTCATCGCGATTTTCCAAAAGAAAGAAAAAAAAACTCGTGGAAGGAAAAAATTTCCCACGTGCAAATATAATAATTTTTCCGAACACGTGACTGATATTTAAAGCTTAATTAAAAATTATTTTTCTTTATATCTTATATTTTTTTTATATCCCTTTCATATTCTTATATTTAATTAATATATTGATGTACATATAATTAATATTTTAATTATATCTAATATATTAATCTTTATATTTTTTTCTTAATACCTCTTTTAAATCTTTTCTCTTTAGATCAAGTATATGATAATATATTAATATATATATATATATATATATATATATATAATATATATATATATATATATAAAATTAATATATATTAATTATATCTAATATATTAATTTTTTTATATTTTTATATAATACCTCTTTTAAATCTTTTCTCTTTAGATCAAGTATACGATAAAGCCATAGAATTATATACAAAAGCCATAGAATTAAATCCATCGGTAGCTGTCTACTATGGCAATAGGAGTATCGCTTATCTGAGGATGGAATGCTTCGGATACGCATTGACAGATGCATCCAAAGCCATCGAGTTAGATAGAAATTATGTAAAGGGTTACTATCGCAGAGCTGCAGCTTGCATGTCTCTTGGCAAGTTCAAACTAGCCCTTAAAGATTACAATACTGTTGTAAAGGCGAGGCCCAATGATAAGGACGCAAAGGAGAGATATTTGGAATGTTCCAAGATGGTTAAAGTGTTAGCCTTCCAGAAGGCTATCTCTGTAGAAGAAAAGAAAAATATAGCCGATATGATCAATTTAGATGCTATGGGTGAGTATTTGATCACAAATTTGAGATAGTATGAAAAAATATAAATTACTCTAATATTTAATTTTGATCACATTATTTCTCAATTAAAATCTTATATCTTGTGTGTATCAAATTATAATATTTATATAATATTATAATAATATTTGTTTAATTTCTTTTCTTTAATCATATTGAGGCTACAATACATTGTGATAATATTGGTATATGATTTTTGGGAATATAGTAATATCTTTCATAGAGAAAAGGCACAAGATTGGATTTGATATACATATTTATTTAAAATGCAAAATTTTATTTGAAAAATGTAAACAATTTAAAGTTATTAGCATTAATAAGTAGCTTAAAAGATAGCACACTTATATTATTTTTTTAGCTATTGAGGATGAATACACAGGGCCTAAGTTGGTCGATGGAAAAGTCACATTGCAGTTTATGCAAGATTTGTTAGAATGGTATAGAAATCAAAATAAATTGCATCGCAAGTATGCTTACAAGATCTTATTGGATGTTAAATCATGGTTTATGGCACAACCTAGTTTAGTGGATATTACAATCCCTGAAGATAGTAAATTCACAATTTGTGGGGACATACATGGTCAATTTTATGACTTGCTTAATATATTTAAGTTGAATGGATTACCATCAGAGACTAATCCATATGTATCCTTTATTTATAAAGGCAGATAAATGTAGATTTAATTTGTTTGATATGTTAATTTATTATTATACAAAAAGTAATATACTTTTAAATACTGATATTATGTAATGAAGCTTTATATATAAAGCTTTATATTTTTAATCCAAAAATATATTCCTTAATAGCTGCATAGTTATTTAATGGAGATTTTGTAGACAGAGGTTCTTTCTCCGTAGAATGTATATTTACTTTATTTGGTTTTAAATTATTATATCCAAATTACTTTTTTATGTCAAGAGGTATGTAATCTTTATTTCTCGACGTTTTTAAGTTCGAGTTTACACACTTACATATGTTCATATATGTTCAGGCAATCATGAATCAGCAACGATGAATCAAATGTATGGATTTGATGGTGAAGTAAAGGCTAAATATTCTACTCAAATGGCAGAATTGTTCACAGAAGTGTACAATTGGCTTCCTCTTGCACACTGCCTCAATAATAGAGTGCTTGTGAGTATAGAGTATTATCAAAACTGTCATAAGTATAATTTATTATATTTATATATCAAATATTTATATATTATAATATAAAATTTTTATTTATATATTATATTTTACGTATTATACTTATATATTTATATATCATAATATATTTTATATATTATATAAATATTTACTATATATTAGAGATTTATATATTTACATATTAAAGAAAATATATTAAATATATATTGTATATAATTTTTTGATGAAATTAATGATTTACTAGGTGATGCACGGCGGATTGTTTTCACGAGACGACGTAACGTTGCAAGAGATCAGGGAAATCGACAGAAATAGACAACCTCCCGACGAAGGGTTGATGTGCGAATTGTTATGGTCAGATCCGCAACCGCAGAAGGGCCGAGCGCCTAGCAAGAGAGGTGTAGGAGTTCAATTCGGACCTGATGTCACACAGAATTTCCTCAGGATAAACTCTCTTGATTACATCGTAAGAAGTCACGAAGTGAAGAATGATGGTTATGAAGTTGGGCATGATGGAAAATGTATCACAGTATTCTCCGCTCCAAATTACTGGTATGCATTATGTATAAATATTATAATAAATACCAAAATATATTATAGAATATATTATATATATATATATATATATATATATATATATATACATATAACTAAATATAAACTAAATATAAATATAATAGATATAAAATATTATAGTCTGCTTTATGATCTAATTTTGAAACAGATTTTATATTGTAATTGCATTACGATATAATTAAGATAAAATAATATTTTATTGAATATAATACAATGTTTCAGCGATACTATGGGTAACCGAGGTGCCTTTATCACACTTAATGGCAAAGATATGAAACCATATTTTACATCATACGAAGCAATGGTGTGTATTCTTTATTTAGAATATTTTTACACTCACTCATTTTATTTTAAATATATTTCATATGGCAGATTATATAAAAGGATTGTTTAATGTATGTTTGTTTTGTTACAGCCTCATCCTAATGTAAGGCCGATGGCTTATGCCAATTCTTTACTAAAGTTCATGTGCTAGTGGAACAACCTCTAGGTATTATTGATAAATGAAAATAAAATAACTGAAATATAAGTAGCCCAATCAAAGTGTGCGTAATATATTTGATACCGAAATGGAGAAGGTAAGAGATTAGGTGTGCTTCTCCACACAACAATAATTATTATATTCTTTTTAGGAGATTACAGGAAAACATTTTTCCTGTATTAATAAAGTATATGCAGTGAAAATGCATGATATATATTGATGGGTACAAAAATGAAAAAGGTTTCGCTTATTTTTACAACAGACAAATCTACTTGACTTTTCCATTTACGATGATACATCATAGATAGGAAAAAGAAACGATATTGACTTTAATAAGAAAATAGCTTAATAGTAATAGCTCTCTCATTTAAACGCTAGTGATTTGTGTTTCTTTGTGACAAAATAATGCGAAGGAGAAACATTTCTATTTTGTACCCTCAATCGATAGGACCACCTTGCTCGTTAAAGATATCTGCGAGCGCGTGCACCATATAAATAGAGAACAAATTTAATCCTCAATATCTTTCCACACATACACAATATAGAATGTTTTAACTTATGATCTATTATTTATATAAACGCAGACACACTCTTATATCGCGATACTTTTAATTGATTCTTTAATGACCAATGGTGGGAAAAGAAATATAATTATTATATATGAAAATATATAAGTGCATATGCATATGCAAGTTAGCATAATTACGTAGTACAATAATCCATCCAATCACAATGTACGCTTGTCACGTTATTTGTGACAACTTTTTTTACAAATCTATCGGTGATCGGATGGATTTCTTTGATCTAACATTTTGTTTTTTGTTAACAATAAATGATGTTTATAATGTACATATAAAAGAATCGAATATTTTACTTGCATTTACATACGAAGGTGACGAAAACATAATAAATTACGAGTGCGAAAATGAATTGAAACATGTGTTTATAAAAGACGAATGATTTCTTTCGGTAAGTTATTCCGATTTTCGCGAGACACATTTACAATCTTAATTCTTTCGTCTGCGTGGAACTTCTCGAACAATTCCGCGTGTTGTCGCGGCACTTTGTGCATCTGCGGGATGGTCCCGATCACGGAGGCTCTCTTGGAGGAGCCGAAAAATATGTTTGTTACTTTCTTCTTGAAGTCCTTACTGAATAATTCCATCTTGCCGATCTCGTCGATGAACAATAAATCCTGTGCGAAAGAGAGGTGATCTTATTTTGTAAAATCGAGGAGAAAAAATTTCCTTTATGACAGAAGTGCTATTTTAATATACTCTTACAGTGTCTAGGTCCAATACCGGAAGTGCTATCACCTCGAAGTTATCCAGAAAAACGCTATAGTTTCCTACTTGGTGCTCGGAAGCCTGTCGAGCATCTGTTAAATTTCTACGCGTAAAGAAAATACGAAATTAAATACAAGATGGATTTTCAGCTGCAAGTTTTCTTTGTCATTGTGTATCAAGAGAATACACACTTTAGTCGTGCCAGGGACGATCTTCTTTCAGGATCTCGTACTCGTACGATGTCAAAGCCAATTCTGTGACCGCTCCGATCTCGTACCTCTTCTGTATAAAACCCATCGAAGCTTTTGCTCTTCTCCAGCATAGATGCAATCTTTTTGCACACTGTAGTTTTACCTATTCCTGTAAAAAAAATTCTGTGATTATTTCGGTTTTTTTCTTTATTATATTTACATTATTTATATTAATTATATATATGAATTATATAATTATAATATAATTAATTATAATTATATTATATTTATATTATATAATAGATAGTAACTTGGATTTTTTTATCCATAAATGATTATTTATGTTATGATCTGCAATATTTAAATATATGATGATTGAAAAATATCTAAATGATTTAAAAATATTTTTTTATGAAGATAATACTATAAAATGAAGCTCGTATAAATTAAAAATTAAATAACGATAGTACTAATAGACTTTTTTTGTAAACGAGTACATAAAAGATCTTATACAAATAATCAACATATTGTATTTATAATTATATCATGAGACGTTTCGTACATTTACTTATGACTTATCAATCATGAAATATTCTAAAAAACTACATCAAATGTTGATTATTTGTATAAGATCTTTTGTGTGCTCGTTTACAAAAAAAATTCTATTAGTACTATCGTTATTTAATTTTTTATGAAGAAACTACGTTTCTCTTTTGTATATTTGATTCAAAATCTGATCATTACTTGAAAGGAGAGGGGGATGTAATATCGGTATTGATTAATAACAATATTTAAAAAATATTTTTTATAGGTGTCATACTTCTCTTTTAATGTATTTTATTCAAATCAGATTATTATTGGATTGGATATATTGATATTAATATTAATTAATTCAATCATAATTGTATTAATATATTATAATTAATATTAATTGTGTGATAATAATTGTTATTATCTAATAATATTAATTATTAATCTCTGTGTACTTTATAATCAAATCTAATTCATTACTCGAATATGTTGATATTAATATTTATAATATTAATTAATACAATAATATTTTATATAAGGAATACATTTTAAAAATATTTTTCTTATGAAAACTTCTCTTTTGCAAATATTTTATTCAAATCTGATCATTACTTGAGAGGGGAGAATACAATATTGAAACACAATATTTTCAGCAAAAATAAGTTAAAAATATCTAATTTTCCAAAAGTATTATAGGGCCTTTTTTTTTTAAATCCCTCGTAAACCTCCCCCGGCCCGTTCCTCACCTGGGGGACCCGTGAGCAGTACATGCAATATCCGCGACGCGCCACCAGCAGTTTCCATGACTCGTCGCGCGTGTTTACGCCGAAATTCGCGTGCGTAATGTCGTAAATATACCCGAAGAAGGGGCGATCGCCGCGAAGGCGAGCGAGATAAGAACACAGCTGTCAAAGTCGCTCCTGTCAAAAACCCGCAAGGTCGCTTCCAAAACGCCGTGGAGCACTCGAGGCGGAGGAACTCGTCGCGACGAGTTCCAACGTGACGAGGACCAAGAGTAGTAGAGTAGAAGCCAGCGCGCAGCGTAAGGGAGGCTTGAGGAGGGAGAAGCGAAGGACCGATCAGCTGATCGGGCCGAGCGAGCAGCGACAGGACGGGACCTGTCGGTCGGCCGATCGGATTGGATTCGGGAAAACGGGTAGTAGTGGTAGTAGCCAGTTGACGGGTGTGCGTGTGTGTATGTGTGTATGTGTGTGTACATGTGTACATTATACATTATATATACATATACGTCGTCGTCGTCGTCGTCGTCGTGGCGTTCCTGACGTATCATCACCCTGTATTCGCGTGAAGCTGCTGGCGAGGATTGTCCTCTCGCGACACTCGTCTCCTCTCGGCGAGGAGGAGCTAACGCGTCCGTCTCTTCGAAGAGGGGAAGACGCGAGAACCGGTTGGATCCTCGTACAAAGTAAACAGAAGGAGGAAGAGGAGGAAGTGCAGCGCACTCTCTCTTTTTTTCTCTCTCGCTCGTGTCTTCTTTCAAGCAGGGGCTGGTCGAAGGGAGGATATGCCGACCATCTCGAAGTTGTTGGGAGGCAGGAAAGGTCAGGACCGGCCGCGGCCTGCGGTCGAGGAAGACGAAGACGGTCGCGTGAAGTATCGCGCCGCCAGCCTCAGACGACGTCGTCGACGTCTTCGACAGTCGTGCGAGGGTGGTTCGGATCGAGTGGGAAGAGGTAAAAGTGGTGGACGAAGCAAGGGTAGCAAAAGCAGGGAGAAGACGTCTGGGAAGAGCCAGGAACAGGAGATGACAGCGCATCATCCGTCCGAGAGCAGTGTCCTGTCATACGTCTTCGCGCGACAGATCGACAACAGGTTCGACTACTGTCGACGTCTGGTCAGCGCGAGATTCGAGAAGTCCGAGAATCTTTACAGGAAGGACCTGCTGTCCCACTACGGATGCGTCAACGCGATCGAGTTCTCCAATCAGGGCGACCTCCTAGTGTCCGGTCAGCAGATTTTACCATTTTTCTTGGCATTAGGTCTGGTCTGTCCAGCTGAACTGGACCGCACTAGTTCGAAATTTTATTAAAAAAGGTAAACTCTGAACTGGCAAATTCAGCTGAAAAGAACAGACCGAATTGTTGTTCATCGTAATGGAAAAGGTAAACTCTGAACTGACAAATTTAGCTGAAAAGAATAGACCTAGTTTATGTTCATCGTAATGAAAAAATAAACTCTAAACTAGCAAATTCAGCTGAACAGACCTAATTTATGTTCATCGTAATGAAAAAAGTAAACTCTGAACTGACAAATTCAGCTCAAAACAACAGATCTATTTTATGTTTATCATAATTTTTCTCCGTTGCTATCCTAAGTAGCAAGTGTACATCACTTTGATGTTTAATGATATCAGTTTTCTACTTGGGACAGTTTCATAGCTTCTGATTTACATATTGTGTTCTTTGTATTTTTTCCTTTCTTTATTATGACACAGTGCCTGTTGATCTGGAACTTGTTCCAAATTGGACAGAGAAATGTCAGTGTCTTTGTGTTTAACAACTAAATTTTAATATGTAGTATCATGAAAAAAATATTCCAATATAGAAATGAATCATGTTATGTGCAACATTTTGCTTTTGCAGGAGGTGATGACAGAAGGGTTCTGTTATGGAAAGTGGAGCAAGCGATACAGGATATTGGCAAGCCCACTGTAATGAAGGGTCAGCACGTCAGCAATATATTTTGCCTGGGTTACGACAGCAGTAAAACTAAGATATTCTCCGCGGGGAATGACGATCAAGTCATAGTCCACGATCTGCGAACGTAAGTTATATATAATTATATATAATTATATATAATTCATTATCATTATATGTCCTGACCTTTCCGAGAAAAATCTTTATTGAGATAACTCTCGATTTTGTAGGAGCGACGCGCTCAATTTCTTCCTGCACGAAAAACCAGTCTATGGATTGTCGATTCATCCACACAACGACGACATCTTTGCCAGCGCCTGCGACGACGGGAGAGTTCTGATCTACGACATACGTACGAGCACTACAGAAACTTCCTGCCTGGCGCAGTACAAGAGCGCGTTTCACTCTGTCATGTTTAATCCTGTGGATGCTAGAATGCTTGCTACTGCCAACGCTAAGGAGGGTGTCAGTATGTGGGATGTACGAAAACCTTTGGAGTAAGTAAATTACTATTTGTACAGAAAAAGAATATATTAGGAACATATTAGATGCGAAAGAATATTCTTGGGAATGTCGTAATAGGGTAGTTTTACAATCTCTTTATACATGTCTCTCATCCACAGGCCTGTATTGTGCTATGGAAGTCCGCAACAGAGTTGCATGAATGTCAGGTTCAATTCGGTAGGCAATCGACTACTGGCCTTAAGAAGGAGACTACCGCCGGTTCTGTACGCAGTCGATTCTCCAACATATTTATGCGAATTCGATCACGCAGGATACTACAACAGTTGTACCATGAAGTCTTGCTGTTTTGCTGGCGAAAACGATGAATATGTCCTGTCAGGTAGATATATTTAATATGATTTAGTGGATGCTAATTCTAAAAAGAAAAGGCTTATAATTGACTGTCGAATCGGCAGGTTCGGATGACTTCAACTTGTACATGTGGAAAATCCCGCCGATGGACGGAAAACCGTGGGTGGAGTCCGCCCACATGGTGTTGCGGGGTCACAGATCGATCGTCAATCAAGTCCGGTACAATCAGGCGAGCTGCATCTTCGCATCGTCCGGCGTCGAAAAGATCATCAAGATCTGGAGCCCGTTTCCACTCGGGAAAGAGTGTCTGGGAGGATTGAAGGTTGCCAATTGTTTCGCGATTGATTTCTTTACGATTTGATTTATTCTCAGAATTTAATTTTTATCATTATTTAATTTATTCTCAGAACTGTTCTGTCATTCTGTTTTCTCTTACTTTCAGAGAGATGCTGGTAAGCGGGAAAGACAACGCCGAGTGTTCACGCACGACGAGTATATTGGATTGGTTCTGCGAAGCGGACAGTTCATGACGCACGATTACAGCCACCAATCGACCAAGGAGGATCCGCGAATGATGGCCTTCTTCGATTCTCTTGTACAGCGGGAAATTGAAGGCTGGAGTTCCGAGGATGTGCCAACTCCGCATACGCCTAGCGACCCCGAGATCGATCCTGCAACCGGCGAACCTTACAGCGCGACAGATTTCGATGGTATAACGAGTACATTTTCTTTTAGAATAAAACCAGGGTGTATGCTCCCGGAAAGTCTTGGAAACCTGGTATTCTCAGGGAATTTTGTTCAACTTTGTAAAATTAAGGAATTCTCATGGAATTTGATTTGGAGGTCAGAGAATTTTTTTATAATTATCCTTTTGTTAATTTTATTTTTTATTTGACACTTAATAAACATATATCTTGGCAATATTTTTTTATTAAAATGTTTATGTGATTTTTTTTATTGACAACCTGTTTTTAGTTATTATCGAGATCTTATATAAATTATAAATTTTATAGAAAATTTATATATATATATATATATATATATTTATATATATATATATACAGGGTGTCCGGTAACTAACGGACCAATGATTAAGGACGGATTCTCTGGCCAATTTGGAGACGATTTTTCCTTAGCAAAAATGTTGAGAAGTCAATAATTTTCGAGTTATAAGCGATTGAAAAAAATGGGTTTTTTGAAAACTAAACGTTTTGGAGTTAAAAGTCTAACATAATTACATTCTTCAGTTAATTTCAGATAAAGTTACTATAATAAAATTTTAATTTGAGGCTTAGTTATAAAGATACATAATGACAAATATTGGAAAGTTGTAAAAAATGATGACCTTTTTCGACATTTTCGCTGAGGAAAAATCGTTCCCAAATTGACCAAAGAATCCATTTGTAATCTTTGGTCCGTTAGTTACCGAACACCCTGTATATATATATATATATATATATATATATATATATATATATATATATATATATATATTGTGTTCCCTTTTAACTCCCCTCGTAAAGCAATAGGCGAGAAAAATATTGATCCGAAAGTTGGCTGAATCGGAAATCGAACCCGGCGTTATTTAGTTAAAGGCACAGAGAGAAGTATTGTTTTGGAAGGTCTGAAAGTCTAAATAGCTCAGTGAGATCAGTCGCTTGGCAAGACTCGGGTTCGATCCCCGATTCAGTCGATTTTCGAACCAATATTTTTCTCGCCTATTGTTTTATTAGAGGATTAAAGGGGAACACAGGAATTAGAGATCTCAACCAAAAGATACTATTCCTAATTAGCGAGAAATTAATTTTCGCAATAACTAACGCAAAAGACATCGCGTTAGGCTTTACAGCCGATATATATATACAATATATATATATATATATATATATATATATATATATAAATTATATGTTGATTTCAAGAGTCGAATATTCTATTGTAAATATTGTGTATAGAAAATTGTCCAAATTTTTAATAATTTAAAAAAATTTTAGATAACATTTAATAAATAAATTAGTACTCCTTATTTATTTAATAAATTAATAATTAATATAAATAAATAATTAATTTAAATAAATTAGTATTTTCTGAGGCGTTTATAGTAAATTATTTTTTGTTTTATATTTTTATTTTTATCAGGAAATTCCCCGAATTTTTTAATAAAATTTTAGTAGACACCTTGTAAAACGAAAAGACTTCGATATATAAATATTATTTCAGATAGGAAGCAGGTTAATAAGAGCTAAACAAATATATTTAACAATTTTTCCTTATTTAATTTGAATGTTTCAGTTCTTTTCAAAATTTCTTAAAATTTTTTAAGTTAGGACCTTATTTATCTCGTCTTTAAACTCTTTAAGAATTTAGGAATGTAAGATAAAGATATGTTTTTGCTAATCGATATACTAAAGTTGAACTGTGCTTTTCTAGCACAGTTTTGTATATCTTGAAAAGATTGCACACGGAAATATATTATTTATGTGTCGCGAGCAAGATAGGAAATGAGCCCAGCATTATTTTTGTCAAAAAAAATATTTTAGATATAAGAAAAAAATGTTCAAGTTAAATGAATTTTATTTCTTCTGTATCAATAATCGAATTTTGACGATTATGTTTAATGAAATATATTTTATATCGATTTCTTTTCGCTGGAAAGATGCTTGTCATCTTTCTATTGTCGTTTGAAAAATTAAATTCGATCCATAACATCGCACAACGAGCTAGAATTATGTATATATATATATATACACACACACACACACACACACACACACACACACATATATATATATATATATATATATATTTTTATATGTCATGAGTCAAATGGAAAATAAACTAAGCATTATTTTTATCAAAAAAGTATTCCAGATATATGGAAAAATTTCTTTTAAGTTTTATAGATGAATTTTATTTCGCATTTTGATGATTACATCGTATAATGTAAAGGAGAAAAGATTAGGCAATGATATTATTCGCATAACTTTTTCATCTCTTATTACATTTAATTATTCTTTATCAGCAGATACTACAGGGTCGGAAGGCGGCGTGGCTCCCGATCGTCCGTCGGAGTCGCCGAATCGCATAACTCGGCTCATCGCAAATCGTCGAGAGAAGATGATGCGAATGGCGAGGCATCTAGAGAGATCAGCCTCGGATTCCGGCAGCGAGGACAACAACGATCACGCGAGACGATCGAAGATGAAATCAAAATCGAAAGACGTGAAGAGGACGACGCATGCCAAACTGTCAGCCGACAGGAGAAGGATATCCGCCAGGAGAAAGTGTACCGTGTTAAAGGTCAATAGTGATTCGGAAAGTGAAGACGACGGACCGGTCGACGCGGCGCAACCCAGCACCAGCTCCGGCGTCATCTCCCGGAGATCGCGATACGTCGCCAACGCGCTTGAGAAAGACGACAAGCAACGCTCGAGTTACAGCAGCAGCAGCAACAACTGTAACAACAGCAACAATAGCGACACCAGCAGCAGTGGCAGCAATAACGGCAGCAACAGCGGCAGCAACAGCAGTTCCGAGGAGAATAACGTCCTTGGGACGAAGCGAAAACATTCTAAAAGCGATTCAGACGCGTCGACCGCGAAGGTGCAGCGACGAAAGCATCGTAAGTGTAAAAACAACGCGGCTACCCGGCATGAGAACTGTTCCGGCAAGAGTCAGAGCAAGCGACAGAAGCTCGAGGACGAGTCGGACAAGAAAAGAACCGGTGCTACGGATTCCGATTGGTTCAAGAACTGCGTGAACGGTAATGCCGATAAGGACGGGCCGTCGACGCCGAACAGCAAGTCCCTTCAAGTTCATTGCACCTTCGATTCCTTCAAGTCGGGTATCTCCAGTACAGGTGACCGTTCCGGTCTCTGTTCCAGCGAGCGAACACGTAACAAGGGAGGAAACGACGATGTCGCGGACGATACGAGCTTCGATCGCGAGCAAAAACTGAAAAGGTTCGAGAGTATCCGGAAGCAGGTGGAGGAGCTGGCGAGGAGGCGCTTCGGCAATCGATCCCTGCAGCAGAAGCAGAAGCAGCTGTCCCAAACGTTGAGCACAAGCGACTCTTCCGATTAAAAGCGCTCTCGTTTCGCTCCCTCTCTCTCTCTCTCTCTTTCTCTCTTGCTCCCTTGTTTCCAGTTCCTTTCGGATTTCCTCCGCTACATCCTTCTCTCCATTTGTACATAATATAATCTGTGATTCCTTGAGGTATATTTTTATAACATTAAGTTGATTACATGCGAATCATGCGATCGATTTATTTCTTTCGATTCTATCTTGTTCGTCTGTATCTTCGATCCCGCTCGTCGTAAATGTACATGTACGTATTTCCTCGTTGCATCTCGAAGATTCTTTCATTTCATCATCGAGCCTTGCCTGGAGGAGTTTTAAAGCCCTTTTGGATTCTCAATGCGGTCATGTTAGATTGTGACGTCAGAGAAAGCACACGCTGAAAGTTCTTAGATGCCATTTTTAAATGAAAAAGATATTTCGAAATGGCATCTAAGAATTTTTAGCGTGTGCTTTCTCGCCTCTGACGTCACAATTCCACCTGATCGGCGAGGAGCCTTAATTTCGATAAAATTCCGAGAAAATTATTTTCTCATATTTATTTTTTTTCTCTTTCAAGAGAGAGATGGGAAATTTTTATCGCGACCGGAAGGTCTACGAGGAAATATTGTATTACATTTTTTTTCCTTTCTACGCAGTAACATTTCCCTAAATTTTGTTGCGTTCCGACGTGTTCATAAGTCAAGTCACTGGTAGAATAAAAAAAGGAAAAAAAAACGAAATCGACGTCGTCGTTTGGTACCGTTTCCCCGTATATCTCGTCCCGTATAATGCCATGTGTGACTGTCAGTGCTTGATCTAAGTAATATCTATATAAGGACACAGTCGCCAATTATATATATATATATATATATATATATATATATATATATATATATATTGCGAGGTGAAAAGACATTTCGCGAATCTATGCGGCAATGCAATAAATTGCATGTGAAGTGTCGAAGCGAATTAACACGCACCCCGCATTTTAGCTTTAAGAGCATTTTGCGACTCCGGTTTGTGCGATGTGGAAAGTAATTTAAAAAAAAGTAATAAATTGATATATACATTTTTTCCTATGTGTTGAAGATTCGAAAGAGGGGAAAAAAGAGGAAGAATTATACTGTAACTGTATATTACATTATTTAATCTTGCGCATTTATATACATCTTTATTAACTGATTACGAATAAACGAGAAGAGAGAAAAAGATAGTCGGAACCTACGTGCGATTTTTTCATTATTATACTCTACGAAGGAGTTCCCTTACGTTTTTTGCTTCTCTCTCGGAATTAAACGTTACGTTATGGATAAGTGACTAATGCGAAATGATGTCATATATCATAATTGCGGTATTCGAGGAAACCACATCCGGCGGCAGGAAACAAGTCAGTCGATTAATCAGTCAGTCAGTTTTCTTACGGATCACGCGAAGGATATCCTTCCTCAATAATATGTTACGATTTTTGAGCCTCATCATCGTCATGATGATGACCGCGCGACACAATCTGTCAGCATATAATATTAATACGCTCGATGTGAAGGTGTACAATGATCCTGCGCGTGCATCCTCGGAATTATTCGCTCGTCGAAGTTACTTCGGCTACTCGGTGGCTCTTTATACAAGCGCCGAGGAAGCTTTTTTGCTCGTCGGAGCCCCGCGAGCGAACTCCAGCGTGTTGCTGTTCGTGACCGAGCCGGGTGCGGTCTTCAGGTGCGGAATGAACGGCGTCTGCAAGGAATGGGCGCTCGACAGGACCGGAAACGGTCCGCGTCCTCGTGAGAGACTGATCAATCAGATAAAAAATAACGCTTGGATCGGCGCGACTATCGCCGTAGAGAATAAGACCGAGCCTAGAGTTGTGGTGTGTCTATATATGTATTTTTTTTTATTCAGTACATGAATCATCATTGTTTTTTTCAGTTTCAATAACGAGCAATGTGCGTGTTTTAAAATTGTATTTCAAGTTTCTTGATGAAATTTAACATTTTTTTTTATCAGAATGTTCGATGCAAAGACACTTTTAATTATCTAAAAATATTTAAATTATATTAATATAATTGTATTTTATATTTATGTAAAAGATCTCTTTTTTTCGTCCGCGTGTGCGATTAATTAAGTTTCCAAAATTTAGATGTACAACGAAAATATTTTGTTATATCATGTTAAGCGACTTTGCGAAATTAATTAATTAATCAATTAATTTAACTTAAATAATGTTTAATATCGAAGAATGAAACATCCGTGGTTATAAGACATTTTTATTATTTTAATTATCAAACGAAAAATAATGACAAATACTCAACTTTTAAAAAAATCATTAATTTTTTAAATAAGGATGTTTGAAGGCGTTTTTGATTATTTTTAAAAAAATGTTTAAATTGTGTGCGCGTTTTATCTCTCTCGCATGCGATTAATTAAGTTTTCAAAATTTAGATGTACAACAAGAAGATTAATTAATTAATTTTACTTAAACATTTATCGAAAATATGAAACATCCGATTATATGAGATTTTTATTTTAATTATCAAATAAAAAATAATGACAACTACTCGATCATTTATCTTTTTGAAAATTATTTTGAAGATCGAATTATTTCTCTGGATCAGTTTCCAAAATTTAGATAAATCACAAAAACTCTTTTTGTATCATGCTAAGCTGCCTTTAATGAGAACATTAATTGTTAAATGACTAGTATTGAGAATATTGAATATCACAAAAAGTATTCTAAGATTATTAATTTCCTTCTCATAAAAAAATTATAAAATGACAAGTAGCTTATTTCCATCTCTATCTTTCTATTTTATTTATTTTATAAAATTTTGTCAAATAAATAGGTTTGCGGACCGCGATGGATAAACAATATCGTGAACGCTAACAGGCCCAATTGGTTCATGAATGGTATTTGCTATGCGACACGTGCCATCAACGCTGATGCATTCGAGCGAGAAGCTGAAGAGCGAATATTACCGCTTTCGAACTCCGAAAGTCAGATTACATCCAAAAACGACATAGGCATTTATAACTACGGGATGAGCCAAATTGGCTTCTCCTTGCACATGAACACTCTGAGATATGATGTGAATGTCGTGTTGGGTGCTCCAGGTATATATAACTGGAAAGGCGATGCGGTATTAACTACCGCCTCGATAAACGACGAGACATTTTCGCGGACAATAATTCCTTCACCAGCTAAAGAACAACAGGTTCACAGTTATAATTATCTAGGTAAAGATATACATATATCTCTTATCGCCCTTTAATAAATTAAAAAATAATTATTTATTAATTAATTAAAAGTTTATTTTTTTAATTATATTTTCAATTTATTAAAATTTATTATTGTTTATTTAATTTTTTATTACCAATTATATATTAAATTAAATTATTTTTTAATTTACTAAATTTATATTTAAATTTTTTATTTTGTTAATTTAAGTAATAAAAATTTAAAAGCTTATGTATATCACAATTAATTTAATTTATGTTAAATTAATAAATTTTGATTTAATTTATTTGAAGAATACATCAAATTTAACTTTCTTTACCTGTATATTAAAAAAAAGAGAAATATTATTATAAACTAAATAAATATATAAAGTGAAAAATTCCCGTCAATCGCGCATTGATTTTAAAATAAAATCGATGTGTAGTTGGAAGAAATTTTTAATTTTTTACTTTTCGCTTTAGAAGAAGTTACACAATCGATACCCTGCTTATTCCGCATATGTGCTTAAACAACATAATTATATTTGACTAATTATTTCACATTTATTTATTTAGCTTATAACTTTTATTAATATAGATTTAGTTTTAAATTTAGAGAAATATTATATTTTAAATATACATTTCTATTTCTATTCTTTTTTCTAAAACATCTCTTTATAGAAAATATAATGCAAAAATTATCGAAAGTTTAACAAAGCTAATTTAATTATATATGCTTTGCAAGAAAATTGAAGATTGATAGATATACATATTTTAATTTATTAATTTAATTTAAGTAATAAATATTAAATAATAAAAATTTAAATATAAATAAAAATATATTTAAATTATATTACAAAATTATAATATTTAAAGATATAAGTAATAAAAATTTTGAAGTTTACGTATATTATAATACAATTAAAATTCATTTATTTTAAATCAATAAAATAATTTGTGCTTAGAAATATCTTATTTTACTTTCATAATATATCGAATTCAATCTGCGAAAGCGAAGTTCTTGTAACATAATAATATCTTTCAGGATACGCTGTAACAGCTGGTAACTACTTCAACGAACGAGACATCTGGTACGCCAGCAGCGCGCCGAGAAGCGCTGATATATACGGGAAGATTCTCGTGTTCGCCTTTCCTCCTAAAACTAATCAACGTATGTTCATTAAGACGGTACTGCATGGTCAGCGATACGGCGAATATTTCGGCGCCTCGTTAGCGTCGTGCGACGTCAACAATGATCGCAGACACGAGTTGATCGTCGGCGCACCGCAGTGGTCCAGGGACATAGACGAGGGCCTCGTCTACATCTTTACAGGACGACGCAATGTATGATTTATTTATGAATATATAAATATTGCGACGCAAATTTCTATCGAGAATTCTATCTTGAATACAATTTTTGACTAACAAAATTGAAATCGATGGTTGAGGAAGACCGCGTTTAACATATGCATTGATGTCTCTCATCTGAATAAGTTTGATATTCGCAAAATTCTTTTTGTTTTTTAATAATGAGGAATCAATAAAGTTATTGAAATTCTTGTTGAAATCTTTATCATAAATTATTAAGAATATAAGTATGCTGCCTTAATAAATTATTAATTTGAACAGTCTTATAAATAATGATAATGATAATTAAACTAAAAATATTTTTAAAGAAATAATTATTTGAGTAAAAATAGTTTATTAAGATTCTAACTTTTTTAAAAAATATATTAGAAAATTAATAATCATATATTATTTTAATTATTAAAAATCGAAGTGAGATTCAATATTAGTAAGAAAAGAAATGATTAAGGAAAAATTAAAGTTACAATTTTAATATTAAATATTAATGCTTTTCTGAACATTTTCTAAGCACGCAGTTTATATTCTTTTTTTATATATATTAATTTCTCAATAGAAAATGCATTCTTTGTACTAATAAAATAATCAGAATTTTTCAATTAATAAAAATTGACATAAAATTAATTTAATATTAATAAAGAAAAATAAAAAAGATTAAAGTTAACGATTTTAATATTAAAATTAAGATTTTTTGGAAATTGAGTATTCATATATCTTTATAGTGAAATTTATCTATATTTTTTCTATATTTAAAATAATTTCTCGATAAAAACGAGTTTTTTCTATACAATAATTTAAAAAATGTATATTTTTAATTGTATAATTTTAATTATAAAAAATAATACCTTTTTTACGCGTGCAAAATCCAGGACAATCTCGAAGAATTGCAGACACTCGAGGGAGAGATCATCGGCGGCAGATTCGGCTCCACCCTGGCGTGTCTAGGTGACATCGACCACGACGGCTATGGCGACCTCGCCGTGGGTGCACCCTACGAGGACGAGAGCGGAGGCGCGGTTTACATATTCAACGGGAACAGAGACGGCGTCTCCCGCAAGCCTAGCCAGAGACTGATCGGCAGGAGATTCTCGCCGACGATGCGCGGATTCGGTATCTCCATCTCGGAACCTCGAGACATCGACCGGAACAACTATCCCGACATCGCCGTGGGTGCTTATCTGTCCGGCGAAGTGGTCCTGCTGAGATCCGCGCCGGTTGTCACGATCAACGTGACGTTGACGTATCCGCAGATCAGGTTGCTGCAAAACGCAACGTCCTTCGTCATCAGCCTCTGGATGTCCTACGAGGGCACATACGTACCTGAGTATCTGCGTAATTTTTATTTTATACGCATGTTATATGATTATGGATTTATTTATATTTTATTTATTTTTATCTATTAATTTAAGTATTTATATTTTTCATGTATTTATATTTCTTATTTATTTTTTATTTATTATATTTATTTATTATATTTATTGTTAAAAATTATTTATATATATATATTTATTTATTTTTATTATTATTTATTTATATATAATCTCTATACATGTGATTATATCTTCAATATTGCAACATATTAATTTATTAATTTTGAATTACTGTATTTCAGGAGCCATCGCAATCCTGAAGGTCGATGAATTACATGGCAGAGCCAGGTATCGCGCGCAAAAAAGCAGCACAGATGAACCACAGACTTACAAGCTGCATTACACGCTGCTTAAAGCTACGGTCGCGCGTATTTCACTTGAGATACATCTCACGGTGCGTTAGCATTAATAATAATTCAATAATAATAATAATTTCTTTTAATGTATCAAAGACTCTCTCACGCTTTTGTGTATTTTAGGAGAACATTCGAAACGTCATAGACCCGCTGGAAGTATCGGTGTCCCTGCAACTGGAGGACGATCTCGACGCGAAGAGAAACGAAAGCTCATCATCATCATCTAGCGTGGTGATAAACCGGCCTCGCTCGAAGCTCGACGATCTCGTGAAGCTCCCGTTCGCCATGGACTGCGGCGAGGATAACGTGTGCGTGTCCGATCTTCGGGTTGTGTTGTCGACCGACTCGATTCGGGGGGATAACAGGTACATCATCGGCTCCACGTCGACCATCACGTTGCGCGTCGACGCTTACAATCGCGGCGAACTGGCGTATCAGACCAAGGTGCACATCTTCGCCGAGGTCCTGCCGTTAGCCAGCATCCCGCCCGAGTGTATCGAGAACCCCCGCGATAATGTTCTGGAAGTGATCTGCGACATCGGCAATCCCCTGAAAACCAACGTATGGCGATGACATATTCAGATTTGCTTAATAAAAAAAAGATGGGTAACAACTTATTTTTCAGAAAACATTAACGCTGCAACTAGACACGAGTACGGTAAAATATGACGTTAGAGAAGTGAAACTATGGGCGAATATCAGCACTCAGAGCGACGAGGCGAATTGGGATGACAATAGTTACGCAATCACGGTGTACTTCGACGTGGACATTGATATAGCAATCGCCGGGTTCGTACATCTCGATGTAACTGTGTGTAAAAATATAAAATCTTACATATATTTATATTATATTATTATATATTCTATTTATATTATATTAATTATATATTTAATAATTAATTAATATATTGATTTATATATAATTTATATATTTAATATATAATATATATAATTATAAAATTATATGTATATTAATGTTATATATTTATAATATATAATTTATATATAACAATGTTTTAATATAATTTATATTTATAAGAGTTTTAACAAGGCTCTGTAATATAAATATAAATTTAACGTATAAGACGGGCAACAAGAGCCAAATCGCGGATGACAATGCGTTATCCTAACGAAACTAAATAATTTTTCGTTAGAATTAAATACCGGTGCACAAGGCACCAAATTTTTACTTGGACACGGCCAAGATTTTAAATATGAAATAATCTCATATTTTGAGATTTAATTTCAATACCCCTTTAACCCCCCTACGGAAAATAAATAAATGAATGCAAGAGAAAAATATAGATCCGAAAATCGCTGAATCGGGAATCGAACCCGAGACCTTTCGCTTGCCGGGCGACTGCTCTTCCAGCCTTGTGCACCGGTATTTAATTCTAACGAAAAATTATTTAGTTTCGTTAGGATAACGCATTGTCATCCGCGATTTGGCTCTTGTTGCCCGTCTTATACGTTAAATAATTTATATTATTAAATGTATTTAATAAAAAATATAATATACTAATTTAATAAACATTTACAGAAAAGCACAGGAGAACTTGTACTCGTACTTACGCGAAGAAAGCAAAGGGAAGCCGCTAAACAGCGTCATGTTCCAGCACTTTTATGAGGTCCAAAAATTCGGCGCCAGTCCCATCGAGGAGGCCGTGTTGACGGTGAAAATTCCGACGCACATTCTACGGTCGCACGATAGCGAAGTTATAGCAATCGTCAGTATCAACGACACTATTGGCAGAATGGATGCGTATCAATTTGATTGCGATTCGAACGAAACCGATGAAGGGTCGCTCTCAGTCGCTTCTAAAGAAATGGATAACGTCCTGATCAGGGCTGAAAGTAACACTCACGCAAAATTCAGCATCGAGGAGGATGACACTCCAATGAACGTACCGTCTGAGAACAGAACGCTCTTCATCAACTGTTCCTCATCAAATAGCGCGATTAAATGCACGCAAATTGATTGCAGACTGGGGCCTTTCCTAAGTTCCTTGTCCGTTGCCAAGTTTTTGGTGACGCTGAATTTACAACTGTCTAACTTTCCTGGTAAATATATAATCCTGTAGCTGATAAAAGAAGATAAGTTTCACGTTCTTTGAATACTTTGAATATTCTGCTCGTAGATGACTTGATGAAGGGCAAAGATATCATATTTTACGTGACTGAGGGTAGCGTGATGATAACGCAACCTTACAATATTGCTCAAAGAGAAGGTCACAAGCCGGATACCGTTTCGGTTGCCACAACTTTTTTGGGCTCGCCGATCGCCCAGCGAATAGCCGTGTGGATAATAGCGCTTTCAGTAATTCTGGGAATTGCATTGCTGATACTGTTAATTCTGGGTTTAATCAAGATCGGCTTCTTTAACAGAAAAAAGAAGATGGAACTTGAAGCGCTGAAAGCCGAAACTGATGTATGTTTAGCGTTCTCGCAATGTTCCGTAAATGAAAATTCTCGTCATTCTTAATGGTATAATATGTATATCAAATACTATTGACGTAGAGTAACTTGCATTTCAGAAAAAATATAACGTGGTTCTGGAAACAACATCTTCGACGGAAGTTCTTGATCGTGATTGAACAGACTTCTACAATTTGAATTAAGATCGATTGGTTAAGATAAGGTTCAACCTGCTGTTGACTGAATGTACATGATTAATATAATTATAATATATATACAACTTAATATATTTATATAGTTTAAGTTTGTATGTATTTATTTTTTTATACAAGTAATAAATAATAAAATTGCCCATAGTTTAAATGATTCAAATATTTTACTAGATATATATATGTACATCTTTCTAAGATTTTATTATAAAATTATCATATTATTTTATAAATATAAATTGCATAGTTTTAAAATTTTTAAGTATTAAAAGATGAATAAAATACTTTGCGCAGCTTATTTCAAGAAGAAAGACAAACAAATCTAACTAGAACTGAGAAGTATTTGGAAGTCTTTTGACACTTTTCTTACGTATATTCGAGTACGAAAATATTAATACGAGATCTAGGTAGAGTTTAGAGTAATCATCTGAATAACAATAAAAAATCCAGATTTTTAATTCCCTATCGTTACAATTTATTTATATTTTTACAATATATTATACTCTAATCAATAATTATGCTAAAGGCAATTCCAAATATTATATACATAGATAATATTATATATATATATATATATATATAATTTGTACTCTAAATATTATTTATAGTATTTTTGTGTGATGCATAAGGTATACATTATTTTAGAAATAATTTTATTTCAACTAATCAGATACGGGCTATCAAGAGCACCAATACCTGCCACTATGCCGCCTTCGTCTTCGCTCGACGATTTGGTTCTTAAAATATGCCCAACTTGTTCATTTAGTATTATATTACTGCTATCCCTAAAAATATATATACGCTGTTATATTACTGCTATTTATTAGCAAATAATAATTAAGACTTCTGGGTCCAGGAGTCTTAAATTAAAGTTATCGCTTGTGCTCACCCTATTATCACTCCATATATGCCAAGTTCTGCTATAACGTCCGATAAATCAAAGTTATCTTTTAATGGTTCTTCAACGGAGCGTATCAGATAGTTCTTCTGTAATGGAGGATAAATGCGATCCATAAGAATCCATGCCTTCCTCTCCTGAGAGTCTTTCATTGAACTCAACCACATTCTTATATCTTCGTTGTATACGTTATTTCCTCCTCCTTCCCTTTGTGGTTTCAGAACAAATTTGTTTGGATTATTTATACCCATTTTCACTGCTTTTTCTCCATCCTCATCCTGTTATTGAAACAAATATATCATTTCAATATATTCAAATGATAAAATGTTTTAAAAGTTGGGATTTGCATCCAAATATTGAATAATTAAATGCTTTGATTCATGATAGATTACTTACAAAGTCTAATGTGTATAATCCAGTAAATATTTCTTGCACTCTAGCAACAGATGTTTCGTCCTTTAGAAACTTTTTCAATACGTTGGGCTGAGTCAAAGATTGTTGTACCTAGAAACATGATAATTTTTTGAAATCGAGATAATTTCCAAATATTTTATTCTAATAATTACATAACTATTATTCTAATTATAATAAAATTTAATTCTTGAATATGCATTTTATATTTAAAATAATACAATTTAAAATTTAATAATTACATTTAATAATATTTAATTACAACTTTTAATTATAAACAATAAAAATTTTTGCTTGATGCTCTTGTTAAACAAATAATTACAATAAGATACATACTTTCTTAGTGCCTGCTAAATGATATTGTACTGATGGGCATTTTATTGCTCGTGAACGTTCAATTAACAACCTAACATCCCATTCCTTATCTGTAGGATAAGCTTCGAGTTCATAACCAGAACGATAATAAACTACAGCCACTATCATATTTGCACTAAAATAATTCAAATAACTCAGGTTTGAAATATTTTAGATATATATGTGTATATAGATGTAAATATCTTTTTTTTCTATTCAATATTAATTTTTATATTATTTTAAAAATATTCTCTCTTTTCTTCTTGAAAGAATTTATGTATTTTATGTGAACTTTGATAGTTTTATAAAATATAAACTCTAATTAAAGTTGTAACATAACTTACACAATTAGTTCCTTATTTGGCCCCAGTTTTACATCTTCCAATGTTAAACTTGTTAAACTTCTTCTAATAATCTTTATCTTAGGACATAACTGGCGAATTTGAAATTCGTGAAATCTTTGGTCACTTATATTATAAGTTACATCCTCAACAATAAACAATATAATAGCGCTAGAATACAAAAAAGAGTTCTGTTCATAAATCTTATTTTTATAAAATTTCTATAGATTTATATAGAATTATTATAAATATATTTATAATTACAAATAAATATAAATATTACGATATAATTTTATAATTATAAACATAAATAAATATATACATATATATATATATATATATATGTATATTATAAATTTATAATATACATTTATATAAATATATGTTATATTATAAATATAAAATTTCTTTAGAGTAATATCTGTTGCATTTTTCAACTTACTTCATATCATTGTACAATTTCCATGCATGTACGAGTCCATTACCAAATCCAGTAATAGCATTATTTTCTGGAATCTTATAATATAATGATAATATACATAAAGTATTTAAAAAATATTGCAATTTCAAAATAAAATTAGCAAGCATATTAGTGAAAACAAATATTATAGGCAATTCTACTTTTTAAAAACAGTTGTATTAACTTACATGTTCACATGCTTCCTCGGTATAACCCAATTCTCCTAATATATATCTAAAAAAAAATAGTTCATTATAATAATAAATAATGCACTTTTAAATATTAAAATTTCTCTGGAATTTTTATATTGCAAGCTTACCTATGATACTGAGATGTGACAGTAGCCAAGGCAGCAAAGCTAGTTGCTACAGTGTTTATTTCAACTTGTTTAATCTTACAGCCCTCATCGTGTAATAAATAATCCGATCTTAGTAATCCAAGACTTATGCTCTAGAAAATTATAAAAATATTGTATATTTTTCTGCCCTTGATTGCATTTTCATTGATATCTGTGTACAAAATTTGAGTTTATATACCTGGCTGAAACCTTCTTCACATACTGTTTCGTAAATGTGAAACAATTTTGCTGTAAATGAATCAGCTTGAATCGTACTAAAACAAATGCGTATAAAAATATTTATAAAATAAATATATATATATAAAATAATATAAAAATAATATATAAATATATATCTATATATATAAATATATATTATATTGTGTAACAGACTTTAATACATATATTTAATACCTTTTTAAACTATCTGTGAGAAATTCTTTATCGTGAGCAACTTTATGAATAAGCTCGTTTAATAAAACTTGTACATTTTTCACAGTAAAAAAGGGTTTCTCAGGAAAGCTTGATGGTATCAGTGTAAATGGTAATATTTGTACTTGGTCCTTGCTAAAATTCTTCCTGGCTCGTACGGATATCCCTAAATAATAAAATGTCACAGAATAAATATCCATTGTACATGAAATAGCAAGAACCAACCACCTGTTACGTACGTGTTTAATTACTAGGTGTAACTTAGTTGTTATCAGTAATAAGATGTCATTACCGTGCATAAGTGTCCAATCTTTTGCTTTATCTACGCTTTCTCTCAGTGTTTCCTCTGAAAGAGGAAGCTTAATACAAGGCTTTAATCGGTAGGCAATCATGATAATGAAAATCGATACAAATAATAATTTATAATGTATGTTATATCACTCGTTATCTTCGCGCAAACGTGTCTCCAAACTCCAAAAATACTAATGTCAACAGCATTCACATGCACATGGAATGATTATTAGAAATGCCATCTTTTGCTAGATCTAATAATCGAACAGGAAATAAAGCACAGTAGGTAAAAGAGATTCTTTTCACTTATATGTAAATTTCATAAAATACTTGTACTTATTTTTATTAAAAGAATTTCAACAATTTTTTCATAATTTAAATAATTTATATCAATTATTTTAATCTAATATTACTGGACAATGAATAAAATTGCATCAAAGATTGAGATTGACTGATGTATAGCACAGTTTAGTTAAGTTTTGTAAATAAATTTTTATCTTAGTTTCACAATTATATTGTTTAATATTTTATTAAACTTATAATTCACACATTTCAAGAGAACATGATGCAATATCGAAAATAATATCTATGGAAGCTCTTGTGATCATGATTAAATATAAAAAGACAAGATATAAGATTTCTAAAACAAATCTAACTTAATATATAATATGCATTTAATTTGTCTGTGAGATGTATACATTTTTTATATATTTAATTCTCCGATAAATAAATAATAAATACATTATACATTATATTTGCAATTCATATACTATATGTATATATCTCTCTTTTTAAAATCTCACTCTTTCTCTTATAAAACAATAGAATACGCTTATAAAAATATAATCTTAAAAATATATTAACTTTTCAATCCTATGTCTGTATATGTCAATTATGGATTATTTCACGGAAGGCCTTGTAACAATGAGCGATATATATTTGATTCTTAATTTGTCTTCTATTCAAAAGATATGCAATCTTTAAAATCTTTAAAATCTTTAAAAGCAGTTTTGGAACAAACTTAATTCTATTTAATATCAATTATATGAAATTCATTTATATATATAATTATATAAATATATTTATACATATCTAATTATATATATATAATTATATATAATTATATATATATATATATATATATATATATATATATATATTTCTATCTATTGTATAATAAATCGAGAAATACTCATTCGCATCTCTATATCTTATATAGCTGCCAGTATGATGCAAAATGTCCTGGTTCAGGAAACGAACAAGTATATCACGTAACATATTTCAATGATTGGGATACGTGATAGTACATATAGATTATGTTTTCAAGCAACAAGAGAGCATAAGATCGTCATACTATGTGCGTGTAAAGCTAAAATTCCTTTCCGCGCCCTGTAAGCGCGTTTAATCATCCAATCCAAGTCCCTTCGAAATTTCATCTGCTGTTAATTTGCGCCCGCCCGAAGACGGCGGAGTTTCCGGACGCGGAGCTGGTTTTGGCACCGAAGGTGCTGGCGGAGGAGGCTCGTAGCTCGGAGGAGGTGGTCCGGGACGATATTCCTCGTGAGGTTTCTGTGGAAGAGAGAAGTTTATAGAAAACATTATTTAGAAGCGTTATTAAGCGCTTGCTTCAATTTTTTTAAATTTAATTTTAAATTAATTAATTTTAATTTAATTTTAATTTAATTTTAATTTAATTTTAATTTAATTAAACTTAATTTTTAATTTTATTTTTTTTTTAATTTTTTAGCTTCTCGCCGACTATGTTAGAATTATTGCAACGTCTAGAAAACACATGCTAAAAATTATTAGATACCATTTTGATGAAACAGCACTTTAAATAACTTTAGCACATTCTTAAAATACTTCGAAAACTATTATTTTTCCTTTATAATAGCTGAAGCTATCTGAAGTAGTGTATCATTGAAATATCTTTTCATGCAAAAGCATCTAAGAACTTTCAGCGTGTGCTTTCTCGCCTTGACGTCACAATCTGACATAGCCGCGGCGAGAATCCAGAAGTCTTAATGCAGAGCATGTATTTACATCTTTTCCACGTTTGCTTAGGCCGTCCATGGCTGAACTGAACAAGGCAGATCCTATTCCCGATAGAAGATCCGACCCGGCAGAACTCTGACCACCAGATGCCGGATAGCCACCGGACGGTTGATAGCCGCCGTATCCTCCCGATGGTTGATACGCTGGTTGCTGATGACTTCCGCCACCACCGAGAACACCACCAAACAAAGATCCTAACGTTCCGCTCAGGCCATCACCGGCTGGTTGATTTGAGGCGGGTTGTTGATGTCCTCCGCTACCTAATATCATCGATCAAAAAACAAAACCTCGTAAATTACTCTCATCTTAGGTGTAGTATCAGGAATGCATCTTAGACGGATAATCATCTATCGATTTATCTAAAACTCTTGCCTTGGCAATAATTCCAACGCGATGATATCACTCGATCAGTCATTTATTCGCAGATTTTCTAGTTTATAGAATCATGATATATGTCTATTTATAGAATTACTGAAGGTATCATTCGAAATTAAGTTACAGATAGCAAATATTTTATACATACGAGTTATCGAAAAATATTAAGATATAACTCTATTATATCTATCATATAGATATGTAACATTTTTGAAATTTAAGTTATAAATATACCTAAGGCTCCAAGAATAGAGCCCAACATTCCACCGCCCGATTGCTGCGGGGCAGGATAGCCTTGCTGAGCGTGTGTGTTGCCTTGCAAGGCGTTGCTCGCCAGACTGCTAGCTAAAGCCATCCCGAGGGAGCCAGCTAAATTCCCAAAACCGCCTTCGCTTTCCGTCTTCGACTTGGAAGCGTCTGATTTCTCGTGATCCTTTTCCTCGCCTTCTTCCTTCTTCTTCTGCAAAGAGTCATGCATGTTTCAGCATCAATGATCTCTAATATTGTAAGTGTAATAATAACAAATTTGATTACATCCTTACATTCATCGCGTGCATGGCCGCAGCCACTCCTCCAGCCGCCACTAATCCACCTATCGCTAATCCAACTTTGTCTAGACAATCTCCAAAGACACCTTCTTCTTCCGGCTTCTCCTGACCATAACCTCTAGATGGATTGTAACCATAAGGACCACCATAGGCATCAGGTGGAGGACCATAACCAGTTGGTGGAGGAGGTCCATAACCAGTTGGTGGAGGAGGTCCATAACCAGTTGGAGGAGGAGACGGTCCATATCCACCCTGTTGAATTGTTGGATACAATCCTCCAGGTGCTAATTTAAGAATAAGAATTGAAATAATATTCATAAAGTGTCGCAATGTTATAATATTAATTATATATAATTTATATATATAATTATATATGATTTACATTATATATAATGTATAATTATATATAATATTAATTATGTATTAATTGAAATAATATTCATAAAGTGTCGCAATATTAATATAACATTAATTATATATAATTTCTTACGTGGTGGCCCAAAATTAGCAGGTACATCCTCTGGAGCTGTGGCAGAGCCTTTTGATGGATCAACCGATATGTGCTCATAAGTGATAGAGTGTATCTCAACATCACCATCAATAACCAGATGAGTAACTTTTATGAATGGTAATCGATGAGCAAATTCCGCAAAGTGTCTGCCATTTATAGCAATCTTGTAACAGTGATAATCACACAGGATCTTGATTTCAAATTTTTCACCCAGATGAATCCACATTGGACCAAAGTTCTCTTCTGCGCCCCATGCCATTGATTCTATGCTATTTCTGGTGATAAAACCTTCAGGGAAACGCGGCGACACATGAATGGCTATGTCGTCTCTTGGATTTAACGTCGGTCCCAGCTGATAGTTGATAGCAAATCGCACAGCATGAGGTGGCACTTGGCCTTGTATCGTCACCAGAGAACCTGCCCTTAAACCTCCTTCCACTTTCCCCACATATGGGATTTCCTGTTGCAAAATGTCATTGTAAGAAAATGGCAAATGTCAGTAGAGATATGTGTAAGTAAATGACTTTCTAAAAATAGCAATAACGGAGGCTCAAACATGGTATAATTCTGAACATTAATTAGAACAAAATTCCCATAACAGCATTTTTCACATAAATAGGACAAACTATAATAATATATAATTTTATATATGTATATACAATATATATATATAATTTAAAAAAATTTTTTTAATAGCAAATAAATTCGTAATTTAATTTTCATAATTTAAAATTTATAAAATAAAAATCATAATTTATAATTTATAATATATGATTATAATAGTGCATTAAGGATGCTAACTGTTAATAGATGTTAATGAGCGATTTCTAATAAAACATGACAGAATGCGCAATTGTCCTAAGCATCGGCAATGCGGATGCTTTGCAGATCTCTGGTTAAAGAGCGAGAAAGAGAGAGAAGGAAAGCAACAAATACTTACTGGATTCAGCACCGGAGAGTTGGACATTTTTTACAATGGCTTCGACGATCTAAGATCTAAGCCAACTTCGATTCTAAATTTTTAATGACTTCTAATGATGAACTGATGCACACAGCGAATCACGGAGTCACGGAGCGCTCCTAGCGCTTCTATTTACAGTGATGACGTTTCAATCAAGTGAAATATGCCGCACTATAGTTGTGACACGTGACCTGGCTTATATAATCGAAGCAATCACGTGACCACGCATCGATTAGTAGCGGGAAGATTTTGAATCTTTGCGCGATAATTGTTATCGATTAAACGAATAAACTGCATTTCTTAAGCAAAATAAGTATGTGAACAAGAGGGAGCAATTGATAAATAATACAATACAGGGTCAGTTAATTTAATTATATATGAATTTATAATTAGAAATAATATGAAATTAATTAATTACTAGAATAGGAGTAATTAAATCATCGTTCTTTATTTTATAGGTATTTTATAGGTATATATGTATGGAAAATAAAAAATGAGGTTTCTATTCTTCCTGCTTTTTTTTTAAGAAACATAGAAGAATGAGAAAAATAGTGAAATATCACAATAAAGGCTTATTCCAATAAATCTTGTCATTGTGTCGTCACATATCCGCGCATGCCCCGCTGGTGTCTATTTAAAAACAGGAAACACGTGCATCATCGCCGCAATTGACATTGTATGACGTCACGTAACAGATGACATAAGTGAGCAAAGTTTTTGGCGCGAAACGTTTCATTCTTTTTTCTATTATCTCTAACTCTTTATATTTTTTTTATTATCTCTCTAATTCTATTATCTCTAACTTTTTCTATTATCTATTAACATTCATTATCTATTAATATTTATTATAATTTAATTATCATTAAAAATTACATATATATTATTTTGACAGATTCGATAAAATAAGGAACAATTTTCCAAGGACTTGAATATTTTATTTGCAGAGACGATCCCGTTGCGGAAAGGTTGCGTAATTAATAGACACTTATTATGGCGTAGCGTGTACGGGCCGCCTACATTCATTTTCGTCTAGTCACTGTTTAATATCCGGTGAAATTAAATAAACCCAGACATATTGAATGAAACAGCAGTATATATTGAGCGCAGAGTCTGTTTTCCCGACGTGGAGAAATAAATAGACGAACGTGAGGATGATTAATAACGCTCAAAGAGAGACCAGATGTACCACGGAAACAATAAAACAAAAAATGTATACATAGAATATCTGGAAAGCGTTTTAAAACGATATTTTATTTTTTAAACAACTATTAATCTGAAAAAGCGAACATAATATTTTTTATACTTGATAACATTACTCAAAACATACACACATATATATTTTCAAAAATCGTTTTTTGTATACAAATTTAAAAAATATAATCGATATCTTCCTTATTTTATTTAAATTTAAAAAAATTTTTTTTAATAATTTAAAAAATGTACAAAATTCTTTTTTTTTATGTCGATTGTTTACACATTTTTATATGCTGCAATTTTACATATTTCGGTTTACAAAAATCTTTATTAGATATATATATTTATACAAAATATATTTCTTAAGAAATTATAGGAGTTTAGCGAATCGAAATACAGAATACTTTTTCACGTTGTGCGTAAAATTTTTATTTACATAAATATATAAATTAATATAAAATAACAGTTATAATAATGACAAGTGCAAAAAAAGTATTGTAAAAAAGTTTATTTTTTATTTTAGATAATTTTATAGACGTATTGAATCTTAGCCATCATGTAAATGAGCACAATTATTTCAAGAACGCTATTTTTATTCTTTTTTTTAATATCTTTTATATCTTGATTTTATTAAATTAAGTTATATTTTTAATAAGAAAACATTATTTGTGTAAACAATATTCTTATACACGATATTACAAAACTATATTATTTTTTATAAAACAATCTAACAGTAAAAATTTACATATCGATATCTTTTACCATCGTTTTTTTATTGTTAATTAATTTATCAAAATTAATATTATTGATAATTATAAATAGTTAACGTTTCCATTGTTAATTTTATTTGAATAATATAAATTTTGTTATCAAATACCGTGGCAAAAATTATAGATAGCAAATATTGCATTTTACACGTTCATTGTTAAGAGACAATATACTTACAGGGTGTGTCGGAATAAAAGGTATTTAGAGCATGATAGGGTTGGGCTCTCTCTCCCACTTTCTTTCTCTCTCTTTCTCTCTGTTTGGCGCACCCAGGATAAATAAAATACAATCGTCATCATATGTTCGATTTACATACGCGATGACACGCATCGACGATTCTTAGCTCGTTCGATGGCTAAATGATCGTCGCGTTAATAACAATTATGGACTGAATTAATTAAACAGCGTTCGATTACAGCTCGAGAAATTATATTATCAAAGCAAATCTTAACATTACAAATTCAGATTTAATTTTTTTCACTTAAAATATCAGTTTAATTTTGCTTTAATTTGAACATATTATTAAATATAAAAAATATAATTAAACACATTGAATAAGATAAATTAGAATCATAATAAGAGAATTAATGGGGGAAAAAGAGTTTTAAGACATGTAAGATCAAACTTAAACCATCACATTTAAATATGAAATAAATATGAAAAAACAATTGCAATATAATTTGCATTTTTGCAACTGACGACCGTCCGTTGACAGGTGATCGAATCATTATTATCACGTGTCGATGATAAGAGATGCGGGCAACTGAACTTTGTTGAAAATCTTTTTAATTCAAAAAAATAACTAAAAGGTCTTAAATTTACATAAGAATATTTAACTGTGTTTTCTCAATTGTATTTTTCTGATGATGATTTTTCCGATACTGATTATTATGTATTATATAAAATATTTTTTAATCAGCGATCCATTAATTATTAATTGCAACACAAACTTCTTCTTCGATCGCATTTTAAATCAATTTTTTCTTAAATATCAAAACTTTGATATTTTTCGATATTATAATAATTTTCATTATAAATATGATTTATTATCATTTTTGTCATTTTATAAACGATGAAATGTTTGCAAATTGATTTTTCCAGGTTAATTTTATTTTACTAGAAGCAAAGGAAATGTCCCTGGATTGAAATTTTATATACGAAATTCGATTTTAATCAAACAAAATAGAATCAATAGACTAAAATAAAGCGAAACCACCGAACCATCACCGCAACATCAATTTTTTCTTTCGATTTTCTTTCTACATATATCAGAACTTATTCTGCTTTGCAAATAAATTTTGAAATTTCATTCAACAAAGTTTAACGAGTATATAGTGTCACGTTGTATCTCTAAAAAAGAAGAAAGAATAAGAGAGATTTTTACATAGATATTTGAAATATTTCTTATTATTAGTTTTTCTGCTGGCCCGATTTTACCTGATTGATTATTTAAAAAAAACTTTCATACATTTTCTCACATTAATATTAAAAACTCTCCTTTTTTTCTTCATATAATCTTGTAAATTTTCTAAAAAAAAAAATGTATTTTTAATTTTAAAACCTATATTTTCAGCTTCTTATAATTATATATCCAGTTCACATAATTACATTTCTTTACATATAATCAATTTGAAAGAAATATTTAGAATCGAGTCTAGATAATTTCTTTAAATATATCATATAATTTAATATACTTGTAATCTTTCTTATAAAAACATTTTATATAATTTTAAGTAATGATAAAAACATACAAAATATCTTCCCGTTAATAATTTTGCACACATAATATAATAATTTTACGTCTTCATCTAACGTGAAACGCACAAAGAAACCACGTCGCCAGGTAACGTGTCCTGTCTTAGGATTAAAACGAAATAAGGAGTCTCGTCAGGATCGATAGAATACGTGAGGGGAACCCATACCAAGCCTTCCTTATAAGAGAGCGTTTCACCACCATAAAGCGATCTATACACACCGCACGTCTCCGATCCCATCATGGGGCCAGGTGTCCACACCAGCATGCATATATACCTGTGTGCATTTTTCTGCTTCTGTTGATGGTCCCCCATCCAGGAGAGACCTACGTCTGCTATTCAGAGTTTTATTCTCCAGGTAGCCCGATAGCTGAATGAGAAAGATATACGCATGCGTGTGCGTGCATCGTAATTAGCAACCTCGACATTGACCGATGACAGTGCACGAGGTGGTCCACCTACAATTATCGCTTATTTTATTTTTAAAATATGCTCCTCACGCAACGTGGACAACGAAAAGTTTTTTCCTGCATTTTTATGCAAATTTCAAAATAATACTAATCACTGATATATATATATATTTTTATACATTATGTAAAATAACGCAGACCTACGTTAAACAATTTTTAATTACTTTTTCACGGTTTCCGCGATAAATGGGTTAAAATATCCCAAAAATAGTGATTTTAGTCGGAATAATTTTGCAGTCACATTCGGATTCTGCGAGCAAAATTACGTAAGAAATAATTTAAGTTTCCCAAAACGCTAAATCATGCAGGCTTGTGTACCATAATTAATGTATTCGCGCATTTATTCTGTCATGTTTAGAGATTTAAAAAAATTTTAAATTGGAAAGATATTAAATCAACACATTAATTAATTTAACTTATTTAAATAAATAATTTTAAAAATAAATATTGTATATGAAATATTGATATTCTTAATAAAATAAAAAAAGACATTTTTTGTGTCGAACACTGCCATTAAATTCTCGTAAAGTCGACCTTGCAAAAGAACACCAGCCTTTTTTGTTTACATTATTTTGCACGTACAATTAGAGAAGCGCTATTTTGGTAGCACGTACGTCCTCTTTCTCTCTCTTTCTCTTTCCTTCCATGCAATCATCCTAATTTTTCATTATTATAGAGTTTAATAATTCTTATATGAAGATATATTAATCTCATAATTCGGTCCATTTGTCAATGTACATGGAGTAATTAATAAAAGAAGCCGGTTTCTAAAAGAAATTAAATAGCAGAAAATTACAGATTAATATAAACAAAGAAGATTTAAAATTTAGTTTTCAAAATAATTAAATTATATTGATAATATATAATATAAATAAAAATATAAATAGTATAAATAATTATAAATATTATATGTAATATTATATAATATTGTATATACACACTATTATATAAATATATTTTAATTTTCTCTTTTCTGTTTTTAATTTATTAATATTACTATTTTTTCATTTTAAATGTTCAAATTAGCATCTATATAATCTTATTAAATCAAGTAATATTTTTTGCATAAATATCTATATAAAAATAAATAAACAATTGATAATTAACAAAGTTTAAACAATATGATAAAAGCAAAACTTACGAAACATCGTATTTCAAAAATAAAAATACAGATAATCTCGAAGAAAAGTTTCTACTTTTAGAAATGCAATTATTACAAGAAATTTTTTTAAAAATTCGAAAAACTAAAGAATAGAAAATTTTATTTTATTTTTAGATATATTAATTTTCAATTTATATATTAAATTGAATTAAAATTAAAAAAATAAACATCTCTTTTTGAGATTTTTTTCTTGAAACATACTTTGGATCTTTTTTTACACGTTAATATATTCAGTGACGATTCGTTACTTTATATTTACGACACACGTGATGTTGGGCAGACACCGGCATTTCAGTGTTTATACAGCGTAGCAGAGGCGACACTCTGGAAGGTGGTGTGTTGCGGCTGTTCGAGGCTCCTTTCAGCCCTCCAGCTGCAGTCGAACGCGATCCGCAGCCTTTGACGGTCGTTCGTCCGTCAGCTGCGCTTTTCCGACGCCATTTGTCGTAAATTTTTGCCTTTTATTAATTCCATTCCGTCATTAATTCCTATTAATATTAATTTATTTATAAAGGCTGAAACAAAAGGCGCTTTCGGATTATAATCCAAACTGTTACAAATTAATGTAATAGCATAATCGGGTGAGGATATAGTGATTCGGGAAGGGAATTAATTCTATTTTCAGTATTTACCATTAAATAATTGTGTGATTTTAATTGTGCATATTACATTGCAAATTTTTCAAAGGAATGTTTCGAAGCAGTTATATTTGGATATATTTTGTTGCTGGAAGTCGTAGTGTGAGATGCTGGTAAGAATTGCGAAGTTATATTATTTTATCTGTTTTATTTATGTAGTTGTGAATAATAAAATATGTGTATATAAGTCGCGGCGACAAAAGAAATGATACTGATATCGTTTGATGTTGTTGTTTTGATGTATCGTATGGTGCGATAGGAATTCCAAACATGTGACTTCTGATGAAACGTATATCGTTTCCCGGTATGTAAACAAACTCTAAGAAATGATATGATAATGCATCTTTCATGTTGCGATTTAATAATAACTTAGCAATGATACCTACTAGTGAGATTCTTATGCATTTCTCTCATATAATATTATTGACAATATATACGACATTCGATTAATCTTTTTTGAATATTTTTTATTATAACATTTTATAACAATTTTATGTCTAAAATTTTTTTAAATTTTTGATTTAATTAAATTATCTGAATAAAAAAAGATTATCACTTACATTTTAATAAAATTTATTTAAAAACTATTTATTAATTAATAGTGTAATTTTTATATAACAGTACAATAACATTAACAAATATTATCAAAGAATAATATTAATTTTCAAACATATTTTTACTTTATTTTTAAATTTAATTTACTCTATAATATTTTTTTATTTTTAATTAAAAAATCTAGATTTTTATCATTTTTGACGTATGACATATGTATTTTATTAAGACAAATGCATTTTTCATTATTATATGAAATCGAGCGCAAGATGTCTTACAATTCTTTATTGTACAAATTATTACATTCACTTTTGAAATTATTACATACGTACATATATGATTATTACATAGGTATATATTCTCTAAAAAATGTATCATTTTGTCTTTACAGTTTTTTCCTTGAAAGAGTATTCTCAGTTACGCGGTGTAATTTTCTAAAGTGGAATAAAACGTATCCTGTTCTTCGTTAAGACGTCAAATCGCCCTTAATTATACGTGTGTTTCTCGTCGGTACTTCATTACACTTCGTTATGCACATCAAAATAAAAGCGGCTCACAAAAGACGATAGTATCGACAGGAAGAGACGTCGGATGTCACCTTTTTGTCCCAGAGGGCAAGACATCCACGTTTCGCGCTGGTCGCCCTTAATTGGCTTTAATTAATGACTGGCTGTCATCAGGCCTGTGACTCACGACGCGTGTAACTCGAGTAGAATTCTAGCGTTATCGCCTTTTTACGCCATGCTACACATTTGTTGAGATCCTCGCGAAAGATATTTTAATAATATTTGATAATCAAACGGTTTTCCGGGAAACAAAAAAGAGAAATATATATATACTATAATTTTCGTAGTTGATTATATCTAAATTTAATAATTATAATTGTTTAATTAATTAATTAACTCTATGTCAAGTTTTATCTTGTTTTATCGCATATAAACTATAAAATTCTTTTTCAATTAGAATGTACATGGAATTAAAAATCAATTTTATTTATAAGGAATTTTTATTTTATTTTATAAATGTCTCAAAAATTTGCTTTAATTATCTCTATTTTTTTACAATTATCGTACTTAGAACAGCTAAAATATTTAAACGTGTTTCACATTTTTTTATTTTGCTTTAAAATTCTTTAATTCTATGACAGTATATATGTGTGTGTGTATTAAAAATAATAATTACATATTAACAATTAAAGTTTTCTTAAGAAAAAATAGATTTTGGATTTTCAATATAATTTATTAAAGATTAAAGAAAAATTATAGAAGAGTTTCGAAAGATACTTAATTAAATAATAAACTAATAAAAAGTCATTAATTATATATCTCAATTCAACACTTAATTCATCAATTAAAAAATTTAAGCATAACATAAATATAACGTAATGTGATAAAATATAACATTTTTTTAATAAAAAAAAGAAAGAGAAACGATTAAAGAAATGTATATTTCTTAATAAACCTGAGGAAAGTAATTTTATTTGTGAGATGACGAATTCACAATAGAACAACGCGCCCACAGCTTTTGCGGTGACGAAATTGTTTGTTTGGACAATTAAATTCGAATTGGAATTGCGTTTTCATCTTCTCCGAAACCGCTCGAAATTATCTCTCTTAAACCGAAAAATATTTGTCTTGTGAAGTCCGATCTCACGAAAACGAAACAACCGAAAATCTCGCTGAATCCAAGAAGAAGAGGGAGGTTCTGCGGGTGCGTCGAATTAAATCGCGACCAGTGGGGGATGAATCATCTTCCCTTTTTCTTCCCCTTTGTCACCCTCAGGACGCGGCGATCGATATCAAAGGTTTTCCTCGTGTCAGTACCTTTTTCCGCGCGAACTCTTAAATATTAAAGCGATATCGATCCTACGTAAAGCAGAAACAAATGTAACGATTAATTATAGGGGTTAACGCAAAACGAGCATGATTAAATCATTTTTTGCACGATACGATGCCTCGTTGATTATTAAAAAGGAATTTTAGTTGCCAAAAAGTAAAGAAATTCTCTTATTTTTTACGAATTTATGTATGGCATAATTAACATAAAAATGAAATTATCCATAAGATATTTTTAAAATTTTTTAAAGTGAAGAATTAAAAATAGAATGTTTTAAAAATTTATTTTTTTTTTTACTTTAATAATTTATGATTTAATGTGTTTTATATTCAAGTAAAAATTATTTAAAAGTTTATTTAAATATATGTATAGAGTAATATATGTATAGAGTTTCATAAATTAAAGGAAAAAATTAAGGAATCAGTGCAGTACTTCGCGAGCGCTAATAAATATATTAATTAATTATAACATGGAACAAAAGTATATTTGTTAGATAAATAATTTACTTTACACATACTATTGCCAAATTTTTATTATTATTACTGTTTTTCCTTTTGATCTAATTAAAGTCATTACATGATGGCATATAAAATTAATTACGATAATATTAGTATTATATAAAAGAATGAATTTTAAACTTAAATATACTTAAATAAATATGTTTTTACAGAACCAGGCAATTAAATATATTAAAAATAAAAATAAAATTTAATATTTATTTCAAAATATGTGTTTTTTCTATTTATATTTTAAGATTAGTGCTACTCTCTCAATGATTAGATATGAAAATTAAATATAGCCGGAATATGTTGTCTATGTTCAGATAACATAATTAATTGGTTTGCAAATGAAGGCACGAATTTGTAATAATAATTAAAAGAATTGATAAAATTAATAAACTATCTGTAATATTAAAACGATAAAATTTAAGTTTTGAGTAAAAATTTTTAAATAAAATTTAAGACAACACAAAAAAACTCTATAGTACTTAATAAAAGTGTCTTATCTGAAATTAAAATAAAATTTAAAAGTTATATTTTATTACTAAGTGGGTAATTAAATTTAAATAAATTTAAAATATTTTTTGTGAATTTAAATATTATTTTATAAAAAATTGAATTATTTTTTAAATAATTAAAATCTTTAAAGTATAATCTTTATTACATGAACAACATCGCGTCTTTTATATTACGATATCTTTTGTACACTTCCGGTTGCGACAATCTCCTTATTGTGTTGCCCAGTAGAAATTCCGGATGGTCAAAGAAACGAGTGTTGAATTTAAAGTTGTAATGTAATCTTTTGCTTTTTGTTTTATTTAAGATTGTTATATGTATAAATATTTAATGTTATTATCGATAGGGACATGTATATTTAATTAGTCATTTATCTAATTACCAAATAATTCAAATTGTATTATTACAATTTTGCTAAGAAACATTAAATTCATGTTGAACCGACTGGAAGAATTATATCGTGATTATAAAATTTGTTAGATAAATAATTTTTTCTTTATATGTATAATACATATCTTATTCATTATTCTCATTTCAACAGAAATTATTTCTGCGAAGAAAAATGAAGACGGCGGTCATCCATCATCATTAAAAAGAACACGATTATTTTTGGAAGATGAAAAATAAGGCGATGCTAGCATGATCGATATTGGCGCGATTAGTATCCTGACGATCTTCCTGATTCTTGGCAATCTCGAGGCAGTCGTAGTTATAAACCATCATCCTGATGATGAGTACGTCCTTGAACATGAAATCCTTCGCGAGGAAGCGCTTGCTGAAGCGAAGAATCTGACGATATATTCCGGTAAGAATTCTTTTTTTCAATAACAAAAAGCATAAATTTGAAGTAATAAACAGTATACTATATAAATACTGTAAAACAAAATTTAGATTTAGGAATCTGTAATAATGAATCCACATATAAAAACATATGTAGATGAAGAATTCCTTGATAGTAAAAATTTTTCTTTTTATATGTGATATTATTCTATTTGTATAAGAATAGAGAGGGAAAAGTAAAAAAGCAAAGTAAAAAAAAAAATAGTAAAAAGTTTAGAAGAAAAAAAAACAAAATAATCGATCAATAATGATGAGTTTCTTATAAATATAAAAATTATAATTTACAAAGTGCATATATATTTCTTCAACATATACATATGAGTTTTTAAATATTTTAGCAAACCATACATCTCACACACACACATCATTTTTCTACCAATTTCTGTAAAAAAATTTTTTTTAATTAAACTTAATCAAATATTCTGTTTCAAAATTTTTTTCATTTTTTTACATTAAATATCTTGATAATTAATACTCTTAGATAATAATTTTTATAATAGTTTTAAACAATATTTTAAATACTTATAATTATAGTAGAATTAATTTATACATGATGACATAACCATATTTTAAATAATAATTATATAGTCTAATTAATTTATTATCTAAATGAGAATTAAATGAGATTAAAATTTCTATATTATATATCTATTTGTATTCCTCAAACTTAGTTTGCAAAAAGCTATTTATTTTTTAAATGCTTGTAACATAAAATTATTTGGATTGAGAAAAGGGTCAAGAATAAAAAAAACTATTTCTAAAGTGAATATTTTGATCAACATTTTTGATTGAGACTTTTTTCCCATTTAGCCCAGTTACTAAAAGCATTGCATTAACGTTTTTGTTTGACTTCCATGATCTATAAAGCTTCCTTAGACGCGATATACAGAAATGTATTTTTCTTCCCGCCAAGAATAGCCGCTTTGATCCATCTAACTACGTGATTGACGTTTCGAAATTTCTGTTCTGTCAATCTCATACACTTCATATGAACAAAAAGGATATAAATAATTTTTGCCGATAAAAATATGCTAATTTTTCAGACTTATCTCTGAAACATTACTCGCTAATTTATTACTATATAAGTTTTGTTAATATTATTAATATTATTAAATTATATTAATATTATATTATTAAATTATTATTATTATTATTATTATTATTATTATTATTAAAATATTAATATTATAAATTTACAATAATATAATTTTATATTTCTGCTTGTGTATTACGTTTTTACGTGTATAAAACACTAAAAGATTTATAATGTAGCAATTAAATTAGATTAAGTAATAATTAAGTAATATGTGCAATTTAATTTTCTAAAGTAAATTTTCTAATTTATCAAAAAATTAATTTTGTAACAAATTGCTACAATTTAACGCAGCTTCAATCGTTATATAAAGATAATTGCACTCATGGTCAGTATTTAAACGCTGACTGAAAAAATGACAAAAGTGCTAAGTGTGTCATGTTCTTTTATTAGTGCATAATTCGATTTTCCGGTTTCGATGGACTAGATCGCGCTCTTTTTAAATTATTCATCTTGTCTATAACATAATAGATACATCTGATGTAACTTATATCGTAACAGAAGCCGTCTACGTGACTCTCATTACAATAAAATTTAAATGCTGAAGGAAGTCGATGGTTACCATTTAACTTGCGTCAAATATAAAATCTATTATGAGTAATTTTGTAAGCAATTCCGATTCTAATGTCTGCGATTTAATTAATCAGCTGACAAATCAAATCTTGTAAGAAACGCGATACATCTGTGCACGTTTTTGCTTATTAAATGTGAGAAGTTAGAATTAATTAATAGGATTTCAATTACATTTAATTATTCATCAAACTAAGCTAAGAAAGTCGATAATTATCGCTTAATAATAGCGTCAACGTGAATTGAAAATTGTCACTCGACATTGTACGGGACACAGAGTTTTCGTTCTTCTAACTTAATTAATGACATCTCTTTATCAAATAATAGCATAAATGCACGATCTGCTGATCGCGATACGAGGCTTCAATCTCTTTCTCTCTCTCTCTCTCTCTCTCTCTCTCTCTCTCTCTCTCACGATCTCACGATCTCAAAAGTTACACAATGTATTCGCGATCGATGCCGATACGACACCAGGATTGCTATCGTAGGTAATTTGCTTCGCTTATGTCCGCGACACAATTTCAGAAAAAAATATTACGTAAGAAGCCTCGAGAGCGAAAGAGACAAGGCAATTATTGTGAATTGCAGATGAGAATCCGACACGATTATCGTGTGTATTTTAATCGCAGCAGTCTGCATCGAGGTTAATGAAATATAATTTTTAATTAATAAGCAGTGGAGGAAATATGATGTATCATCTTCTCTTCTCTTATCCTACCTATATATAGATAGTATAACAATACGCATAACAATCTTTTCTCTGTTTATTAATTTTTCTTTTATCATTTTTTTAGTTCATAAATGTCGTTTTGTTAAAAAATTTTTAATTTATATTATTTATGTAATCGCAGGACCTATTCCGGGATGTAAGCCTTGCACCAACTCCGAGATGACTTACTGCAAGGATGGAAGTATCATCAACGATCATTGTTGCTGCGATGGCAATTACAACAGTAGGTATTCTAGTATAGGTATATATTTTATAAAAATATTAATATATGTATATATAATATATATTATTTATTATATAATTAATTATTATATAATTTATTATATAATTTAATTATATAAATTATATATATATATATATACATATTATATATATATATTATATATAAAATATATTTATTTAAAATATATTATTATTTTTTAAATATATTTATTTATTTTATAATATATATATTTTTTTTTAAATTGCTGTAATAGAGAAAAATAAAGCCTTAACAAAATCGCGCTCATAATTCACGAGAAGAAACCATCGAAGCGGAACTCGATCTCGGACGATCTCTCGAAATCGGCTTTTCTCACGGACGACGGAAGTCGTGTTTTCCGCTCCCGTCCTTCAGTTTTATTTTTTTTACGCGGCAATGGAAGTCGGAATGGAATGAAAAACAACGTGAGTTTGGTCCTCGAACACGTCGGCGAATTCGTGCGTGAACAATCGCGCTGCAGTTGTGCAACAGAGATTTAGAGCAACGCGGCAATGATAGACAATAGCGCGCACAATAGCAAATCGCGTAATAGCAATTTTATTTTTAGTATTTGATGTATTCGCTATACGTGCCGTTACGGTCCGAACTCGTGTGTTCGAACTCTCTGAATAATCGTGGAAAATCGACAGAACGCTTATATTTCCGCGTTAGATTTCATTGCCCCTATAATTTTTTCTCGTGAAGACGTGTCTGTGGAAAAGTTGGAAATTACCTGGCTTAAGTATTTCGCAAAATTTATGCAACGACACGAAATACACTTCATTGTTGTAAAAATGATGTGCCTTTCTGGGTTCTACAAAAAAACCTCTTTTCTATATAAAAAAAGTTAAAATTACGAAAGACGCATAAGTACATATATATGATACCGATTTTTAAAATTATTTTTATAATGATTCGCAATACTTTATTTTGCAAGGTCGTAATATTTTCAAAAATTATAACCAAAGTAGAATATTAAATATAAAAATTAAAAGATTATTATTTAAATATTGATATAAATATTTATATTAATTATCGATTCTCAAATTAATTTTTTAAATGATTTAAATTGTTAATAATAATCATAAAATATTTTAATTATCGATTTGAAAATAAATAAGATTATAAAATAAATAAAATTATAAAATAAATATATAAATAATATTTGGAAAAGACATAAATATTGCTAAATTGCCGTTGCGATTTTTTGATCGCATTTCGTAATTCTTTATATGAGAAGAAAACTAATGATATTTATTCTTTCCATTGAACGGAAGTTTAGTCGCCTGTTTAAGAAGTCATCGCTCGTTGCAATGAGTTATCCTTATCTCGACACGCGCGTTAATGCGTTAATAGCAAAATCTAGTGGGTGATGCACTCAGCGAATCGTTTGATAGTAAAATTATCGTTTATTGACCCCTGGCACCTTTGCTCGAATTTCTAATTATATTTATAGTACGCTACTCGGTATTCGATATCCATGCAATTGTGTATTGATGCAAGTCATTTTTTCAATGCGATATTAATTTCTAATATTTGATACACGTTCTTAGAAAAAAATAAATATTAAAGAATTAAAAAATATATATAAAAATGGTCTTAAATATTTCTATAATTAACATATCATACATTATATATGTTGTATATGTTATGTTATTTTTCAATTGTAAATAATCATAAACTGTTTTAATGATAGATTTAAAAATAAATAAAATTGTAAAATAAATATAAATAAATAACTATTTATTTTTCAAAAATAAAAAATTATAAAAAAAATACAAAAGCACCGTCCTATAGGATTAAAGGTATCTTGAAGAAATGCTGATAAATTATTTACATTTTCGTTCGCCTTTTATTCAAGAAACGTTGAATCAACTGTCATTGCATGTAGACTCTCGATGGTGCATAAAGTTGCATTGCCACACGTTTACGCACGATTACGCACATGGAATATCTAATTTCCGAATCACCTTTCGATCAGTCGTGAATCAGTCGCTCGTTCGTTCTGCACTCTTTTTCTAATCATTCGTAACGATTTTAAGAATCGGTTACATTTCAAAATTGATTTCTAACTCAACCAAAATAAAATATAATGTCGATCGTACTGAAACATTTACCTATGTTTTTTCTTTGTGTTTCTTGCATAATTATTAAGCTTTTAAATAAATTAATTTTTTAATTAGTTTTTAAATTAAAATATAATTTACTACATATAGCTAGGTAAATTCGTAAATTTGTCAAGATACGTATAAAATTATTTTTTTTTGCTTTATTATTTAATGCTTTATTTATTTATAAAATTATATTTTTTTATCTTTCTTCCATTGCAATTTTACAAATCAAGTGATATTAATCAATTATTTGTAAAACTTGGTACAAGTTCTTAAAAAAAAAAAAACTTAATTTGCTTGTGTGCATATTTTGAAAAGTCGAGAATATATTTAAACTATTTTCTTCTTATTATCTTTTCCGGAACTGATAGTGCGCCGGAAACCTTCGGTATCTCACGAATTAATTCTTATTCCACATCGTATAAAACCGGTTAATTATCACGATGCTTATAATTTAGTGCTTTCCATGTATAAGTAAATATGCAAGAGTGTCGAGATGCGTGTAGCATTATTTTTCATGTTTAAAAAATTTTTTTACCTTTCTCCGCGTTGTAATTCTACAATTCAAGATATATCAATTAATTATTTATAACAATTTTTATAATAAATTAATTAAATAAATTTAGAAATTTACTAATTTACAAAGTAAAGAGAAAATAGGTATAAATATCTCATGACGATTGATTTTACTATATTTTATTTTAAAAATAAATATTTAAATTTCAACAAACTAAGAAAAAGTAAAATATTTAAAAAAATTACCGAATGTAATCCTTCCGTTCACATATTTATTTTGTTTTTCTATTGTGTTATAGGAGTGTTTCCTTTCGTCGAGCACACTTGTCGCGTGGGACCAGAAGAATGCAAAGTGCAGGCTGAGGACTGCGCAGAATATACGAGACTGCGAGAATGTTGTTGCCATTTGTACTTGGCCTCCGTCTGTAAGTAGCGGCATTTACCTAGATATAAAACAATATATATATGTAAATAAATTTTTAAATTATTAAATATACATACATATATGTATATCACATATTTATATAAATTTTTAAATATTATAATTTATATATACTATATATATATATATTTATGTAAATTTTTAAATGCATACATACCATATATGTATATATACTCCAAAAAAATCACAAAATTTCAAATGACGATAACTTTGTAAATAATAAAGATAGAACTGTTTTTAAAAAACGAAAATAAAGCTTGAAATTTATATTTTAAGAATCTATTTATTTCGATGTGGTAAGATAAATTTATTAAAAATCGCGGATAACAAAACAAAAATATGCAAAATTGAAAAATATGATTCGAGTTTGCCAAAACACATGACGTGAATTAAATATCGCAACTTAATGAGATGAAAAGTAAATGATAGTACAGAGTCTCCCCTTTAAAATGCTTTTTTATTCACTTCGATACGTTAATTTTTCGCAGTGTTATTCGTATTTAAAGTAAAAAGCTGCCTTTTTGTTCAAATGCGAATAACTCTGCGAAAAATTAACGTATCGAGATTAATAAAAAGGCATTTTAAAGGAGAGACTCTGTACTATCACATGCTCTTTATCTCATTGAGTTGCGATATTTAACTCACGCCATGTGTCTTGGCAAACTCGGACCATATTTTTCAATTTTGTATATTCTCGTCTTGTCATCCGCCATTTTTAATAAATTTATCTCACCACATCGAAATGAATAGATTATTAAAGTACAGATTCCAAGCTTTATTTTCATTTTTTAAAAACCTTTTTATCTTTATTATTTACAAAGTTATCGTCATTTGAAATTTGATAATTTTTTCTAAATTTTAAGTGTCCCGCTTTCTTTGGAGTGAATGTATAATAAAAATTATAAAACGCAAAGAATATTTTATTTCTTTTGTTACAGATAGCAAACAATTATTCAATTACGAATTTATATCGTTATACAGGGTGTCCCATAGGAAATTGCTGAAACTAATCAGCTGTCATTTTTTAATGCATGCAGATATTGAGAAAACAAAAAATTGTATTGGACAGAGGAAAATCTGGAGTTTGTAATGGATATAAATGAAATATTTGTATAATAGTTTATTTTATTGATAAAAAGTAATGAAAAAGTGCTAATAATTACATAAAATCACATAAACTAATGATAAATATTTTCAACAGTGCTAGATTTAATAGGATCATCAATAACATTAAAAATAACATGTTACAAAAAGTTTTTACAAGTTTTCGTAAAAGAACAGAATTTTATACCAATTCAAATGGTGCGCATTTCGAAAATATTTATCATTGTAGTTTATATATGTGATTATTAGCACTTTTTTATTACTTTTTTTCAATAAAATAAACTGATATACAAACATTTTAATTATTATTCATTAAAAACTGCAGACTCCTCTGTCCAACACAATTTTTGTTTTCTCAATAACTGCATGCATTAAAAAATGACAGTTGATTGGTTTCAGCAATTTCCTATGGGAGACCCTATGTATATATAGGCATACAGGTTTATACGATTATTAAAATTATAATTATTATATAATTTTATAATGATGTAGTTATATATCCTTAAAATTTGAAATATACATATATGAACCAAACAGTCTTGACAGATGTAATGCAAGTTTTAATAAATCGCACCTTTATATTTTATGAATATTAGAAAAAAACTTAATTTTTTCGGTATGTTTGTATTATTTATTGCTTATTGTTATTATGTAATATAATTGTTAATTAATTATTAATTTTTTTTGCAGGGAAATATCGGGCGACTGGCGCAGGATCGCACCTCAACACGAATCTCACAAAGTTCCTGATAATTTTGACAATACTCAGGTTGCATCTGTTGCTGACTTAAAGTACACCCTCGCAATATCAGAAAACATATTGTGTACTATTATTTTATATATATATATATATATATATATATATCTTTGTTTAGAACATGATTGTATCAATCATTGTTTGGAACATGATTATATTAAACGGACGCCGATAAATTGAAATTTGATAGAATGTATAATGTGCAACGAGTGATGTTAAGAATGTTTTTAATAGTTTTCTTCATTTCAGCATTTTGTATCCTAAAATGTAAATATATTGTATGATATTATATATGTGACATGATCAATTTTACTTCCTAAGATTTTTTTCCTATTATACATACCATTAAAAATATATTTCTTCTAAAATACAAATAATATATGGCATTTTATAATCATAATAAATATTGTAAGTAATAAATTAAATTAAATTTAAATTAAGTACTATATTAAACAATGTAATCAGTTTAATAACAAGTTTTGAAAGAAATGCATACAATTTTGTAATATATATATGTATAGATTAATTTCTTTTATTATTAGTTATAATTATTTTATAATATATAGTTAAAATTATTTTATTATTAGTTTTACATATACTTTAAAAGTTTAGTTTTACTTTTAAATATATTAAATTTTTATTATACAAATAAAATATAAATAATATATAATATTAATTATATTTATAATATATAATATATAACATAATATTTAATTAAATATATATATATATATATATATATATATATTTAATTAACAAAATAGTGATTTAGTTTAAAGGTTTAGTCAAGTTAACAATCTTTTTCAATGTAAAAATCTCACATCTGCCATCTGCTATTTCTGTCGTATTAATAAATATTTAAATTCTCTAATACAATACAAACGAATATAATGCAAAAAATGATGCAGCATATAAAATTAAAATTAAATAAACATAAAATTAAAAGCGAATAAAATTTTTAAAAATGATACAACATTAAATTAAACACGTTTCGAGTGATAATATTTCAATCAAATTGTATCACGTACTTTTAAATTATTTTAAATTATTTACGTTTCAAGAGGATGTTAAAATTTCAAGTAAAATTAACAATATAGAAAACTTGTGGAGTGTAAATAATTTTTATTTAATTGTTATCTATTCTTCCGCAAAAATTTTTTAAAACTATTCTATATAAATTAATATATATTAGTATTTAATCAGTCAAATACATGTTTTGTTAGATTGAATATATTATATTTCGATTTAAATATTTTTATATTAACAAAATATTTGGTTGAACGGTTTAGGCAAGTCAATAATTTTTTTCAGTGTATAAATTGAAGGATTTAATATTCATTTTAATTTTTGATGACAGAAACAGCATAAATATATAATAACATCGACTATTTTGGCATCGAGCACCAGTCGTTCTCGATACTTCGCTAAACACCCCTTTGTATCCCCAAAACGAATCAATCGCAAATCTTTCGATGATCCTGCCATCATCGCAGGATTTAGTGCGCGTGCGTCGTTTGTAATAAAATTAAGCTACTGCGCGACGCGAAACTCGATAAATTCGTCGTCGTAATAAATTCATCCAATCACGGATTTATCATAGAAATTTACCTACCCCCACCCTTCCATTCGCGATCGGAAACGAAGGACGTCGTGCGTCGTGATCGAATAATTCTTCCTTTCCGGTTCGAGGTCTTGTGCTGATAAGACGTGTAGGTGAGTATAATTCATTATAAGGAATTTTTTAGAAAAGTTTGTCGTGATTTTCGCACTTATTACTTCTAATACGTCGCGAATATCGTGAGTATCCGTAAAAATCGTATCCGTTTTGCGCGAGTAATAAAATTTAATAAACGTGTTTTGCGTCGAGTAAGTGTCTTTTGTTCGTCTTAATCTTTAGAAAACTGCGCCATTCGAGCAGGCGATCGTTTCGTCGCCAAGATTTTCCGGCTGTTGTCCTCAACCGAATTTTCAGCTTGAACAACCACCTATCATCTACTCGACATATTTGGTAAGCTTTTATGATTTAATTAAATATTCTATTTTTAATATATTTATTAAAAAATGGCATTTCGAGCCTGTCGCAGATATAATGCAATTTTTTTTTTTTTTTTTTTTGAGATTTCGTTTCTCGTCAGTTTTGTTGTTGGAATCTAAATCGTATATAAATTATAAATCGTTCTTAAAGGCAGTAATTTCATCTATCGAAAAAATTATTTTCTGAAGATATGTATGTGATGTCGAAGTCGCCACCTTTTTCATTTTTAGTGATTTTATCACCGTTTTTGGCGTCTTTATCGTACTTAAATCGTCCTTCAACGGCAAAACAACAATTCTGTTAATAAAATTAACTAAATCGGAATTCGTTGGTACCAAACTTTTTTCTCACTTTCTGATTCTTTATACTTTCTGGTTATATTCATTTGAGTCATATGGCTCATGCAAACGTTTTATGTCAAAATGTATTATTATATTAGTTGACAACTTGGCATAATTATTAGAATGAATGTTGTCAAAATAATGATTATAAATTAAATAAGTCATGTGATTTTGTAATACCATCAAACAATTTATCGCTTCTCCTATAAAGCTAAATTCTTTTTTCCTTTTTTCATTAAAATGTTTCTGTAAATTTTTTTTATAATTACTTTTTATAATATTGATAGAATTAAGTGGAAATTATTTTAACAAAATATTACTGTCAGACTTTAGATTGGTGGGATTTAGTCTAATTGTAAGTCTTATGAACAACTGCAAGAGGAAAATATCAGGCTATGAAATCAATTAAAATCGAAATATTTAACATCTCAATTATTAATTTCTCAACTATAATCAACTTCTCAATCATCACCTTCAATGAAAGGCAATCTCAAGACCTTTCTCACTTAGGTGGAAATTATTTTAACAAAATAATTTACACATTTTTTTTGAAAAAATGTTTTTGTGACATTTTTTAGAATAGTGTTGTAAACATATTTAAGAAATGATATTTAAATATTGCTATGTTATGTTTCTGTAATAAGTTATATATATATATATATATATAGCGGTAACATAGATATAACATTAAAACATTTTTTATTTAATAATCTTTTATTTTATTTATTATTAATACAAATTTTTTAAAAATAAAATTGACATTAACTCAACATCAAGTCTAGTGATAGATCAACATATATGATATACATATATATATATATATATATATATATATATATAATATGTCAGGCGGCATGTTCTCGGACGTTTTTTTATGTTCTGCGGCAGGTTCGGGGACTTTTGGTACATTTTAGGACCGTCCGGGAAAAATTTTATGTCAAATGGTAGATTCCAGGACGTCCCGGAATGTATCATTTTGAGCTATTGGCATGTTTCAGGACGCTATGTATGTACATAATGAATGTACGTATATAAATATAAAGTATTGGTACATGCCAGGACATTTCTGTATTGTGGTATTTTCCAGGACGTCCGGGATTATACCATTTTAGGCTACTGGCACTTTTTAAGACATTATGTACGTATATCACGAATGTATGTACATTTTATATATATACATGCAATGTATTGACAGATTCCAGGACTTTATATGCTCCGGTATTTTCCAAGACGTCCTGAAATATATCATTTTGAGCTTGTCATTTTATTTTTAAAATAGTAGATAAGGGAAATACAAAATTCTTTTATAAATGTATTATTTGTTACATTTTTTTTGAAATTTTTACAAATTTTCAATAAAATTACGTAATTCAAGATATTATTTATTATTATCAAAAGTTATTTTAATTTTTTTTTAATTTCCGCGAATTTTATTTTAAAATAAGTGTTGCGAAATACATTTTCATATCTAAAAACTTGTAATTAATACTTGCAGCAAAGTTGATGCCTAGTAAGTGAGAATATAAATGATTAATAAATTATTATATTTCTTGATATAAAACTGAAATTTAGTCTAAACGCTATTTCACTTTCATTTTATTATACTTGCATCTTTAACGAGCCAATAAGTAAGACGTGTCGATAATAAAAATTTAACAAACTTAAATATAAGGAACGTAAATGTTACTTTTTTATTTTTGTTTGTCAACGATACAATAAAACTATACTATAATGTAGCATATATAAGTTTTCAAAAAGTAACTTCTATTTGTCATTACGCAATAAACTTATCCTCTTCTGCACAATAAAATAAAAAAAGTATTTAGTATAAAACATATGTTTCACATATTTTCCGCTTCTACATTATGTATAATATATTATTATATAATATATATATTTTCTATAATATATGTACTTATTAATATAATATATTTTCTGTTTTATAAGAGGGTGTTAACATTTATAAAATCACATATTTTAAAGAACACAAAATACTTAATATCCTATTTTTAACGTACATATACGATTGCTAACTTAACTTAAATCGACTGCTTGTTATATAAGTAAACTTATTAAAGACATAATTTATGAAAAATGTTCTCGAGTCTTGATACAACTACACAAGAATTCTCGGATTAAAAAAAATTGATATTTCCTGATTTTTCCGGTTTTTTCAGGAAGTAGACACATTGCATAATCAAATAACCAAGCAATAAAATATATATTTGTTTACTATAAAATTAATATAAAAATAAAAAAAATAATAAAAATAAAAAAATAATAAATTAATATAGAATAAAAAATGTATCATATCTGCTTTTTTATCATTTTAATTATAAGAAACTTAACATTTTTATATATGATTAGCTTTAAATTTAAATTTCTAAAATTACTGTATTCTCTCTCTAAATACTTATTTTGTTTTTTTAGTATTTTTTTGAATTATTTTAATGACATAGCTTTGTATTTTTTTTGGTGATATTTTTGCAAAAGTTTTATTTCCCTTAATTACATCTCGACATTCACTAATGGATGGTACACGACGTTTACTAAGATGATGAGTAAAAATGTAATTTATATGCTTTTTCCAATGTTCCTTTGATAGGCTCTTCTTTGTCCTTACTTTTTCCACTGACGGTGAAGTATTTTTTCGTTTTGTCGCATTTCGAATTTGGTTATGTAACCAAGTTTTCACAACAACTGGTGTTCGTGATTGCAAAACGTTGTAATCTTTTTGAATTTCTCTAATTTTAGATAGAGAAGGAAGATTACCATTTTCAATATAATCATCGAAATAACGTCCTGCGCTTTGTATTTCTTCTTTAGTCCAACGTCTTTTTACCTTTTTTTGTGAACACTCTTCAACATCATTCAATCGCCTACGTTTCTTTGAATGTGATAATTCAAGAGAAGAATCTTGATAATCAGTCGATGTATCTACTTCATTAATTTTCTTGGATTTTTGCCGCTCAATTTTTGATCTTAGTCTTACACTTTTTCTTTTCAATACACTTTGATCAATGCTAGAAGATGCCAGCGAGGAATCATTTTCGTTCCTAGCAGAGAACCTCATGTCATCAGAAAAATTCAAATTATCAGTGCTGTTTGTCTCTGTGCTACATGTATTTTTCGATAAATTTGGTGTAGAGTCATCAACGCTGCTTGTCTCTGTATCAGGTGTATATTTCAATAAATTTAGTATAGAGTCATCTTGCTGATCAAAACCTTTAATAGGCTCATTGTCAGAATCACTTTCATGTTTCTGAGCTTTCTCTAGAACTCTTGACATTGACAGAATATCTACTTTTGCTACTGGTTGTCGATAAATATTCTTGTGAATATCTACATGATGTCCCATAAAATTAGCTACCCTTGAAATTTCTGTTTCATTCATTTCCATGTCAGCACATTTAGTTGCTATATGCTTGCGCAGAGAAGTACCGCGTAATGTAGATGGCTTTTTGGCTCCACAGTAATTCGAAAATTTTTGTATCAACACAGTTGCTCTCAAAAATCGATGACGCTTTGGATTGGAATTTGGCAAACCAAAAACGTAAGGATTTTTCGAGGAAATACCCATTTTTTTGCGATATTTCAAAAGAAGTTCAATACTGTCACGCATCTTTGAATTTAATAGTATTGGAACAACTCGATTGAGTTTCCCTCGTATTTCGATTCGCACATATTGTTTAGCAGCCTGTTGATTGTATTTTGAAAGTTTATGATAGGTTTCATCATCATCTGGAACTGACTGTTTATTTTGAAAATCAGATATCAAAAGTCTTTCAAGTTCTCCTGCTCGTTTTCGGTTGAAAACTTGTATGTAAGTTAGCGTAGCTTCAGCAAGATCTCTCCATGCATATTCTGAAAATTCTTTTTTCAACAGTGCATAATTTTCTTCAACTTTTTCCTTAACATAATTATTTAAAACTTTTATATTTTCAGTCTGTGGTAACTCAACTTTTTTATGACGTCTATTCATCACTTGGGTTTCCATTACTGTTTTATTAACACTTCTAAATAATCTTCTTGATATAGCGTCAGAAATTTTTTGCAATTTTTCTCTCCAATTTCATCATGAGATGCTATACATTCAGCTTTCCAAGTAAGACCAATTTTTTTCAAGAATGTACCAAGAGATGATGCATTTGCTGGCGTTTTATAAATTCCTTTTTCTTCATCTAAACCAGCGACAATATTAACTGCATCGATCGCACTACGATAATGTTTTGCATCATACAGAGAACTAAAATCCGTGATTTCAGGATTGATTTTTTTTAATTCTATAAGAAAACGACCAAGTAATCGTATTCGTGTTCGAATCATAGCATGATGGTACTGCTGTCGATGTTCACGGCATAATTTATTGCCATAAAGCATAAGTAATTTGTCGTATCGTACACTTCTAGTCACTTCATCCTCTTGCATATATGGAATGATATATTGTCGCATTATTGTAGAAGCTACCGGATGAATTCTTCCTATTGCAGTTCTAGCAGCAGCTAATATTCTCGACTATTTGATTTTTTATTAGCACATTTTACATAATGATGTCTTAAATTATTTTTGGTATAAAAACCTTTGCACTTTGGGCAGGCTGTGAAATTTTTACCTGAACGTTTTTCCTCAGTTCGTGGACGTCTCATAGGTATAAGTTTTCACCATTTTTCTCTGCATTAACATTATAAAGGAAATTTCCTTTTTTTCGGATACTTGCAATTGCTGCATTTTTTTGTGGACCCTTTGGTAATTTGAGAAAATCAGAAACTACTTTTTCTTTGGAATGTTTTGACTCTAAATGCCGTGGAAGTTTTGTTTGAAATTGTTCGCAATATAAACAATAGCTTGGTTTGCCATATCCTTTCGGTCCTTTAGACAAATCTGCTTTTAGTATGGCATCGTCACATGCAGAATTTCCAGGAATATTGAACGAAGCATTTAATACTAATGAAGCATCTGTTGATATATCAGTGATATCTTCCATTGAATTTTCCTCTGCTTCATCTTCTGAATTCTCTGTGTCCTCACCTTCAGAGGGTTCATATTCTGAGCCGGATGTACCAGATTCTTCTAATTGATCTTCAATCTCTTCTGGTTCTTTAATAAAGCATTTTTAATAAATTAATATAATATTTTAATTTAATATATAATATAAATAATATAAATATTTTAATATAAATATAAATATTTTTTTACACATTAAAATGTAATATAAATAATTTAAATGTAATTTATATGTAATTAATAAATGTAATTTATATGTAATGTAATAATTAATATATTATATATTTAATAATTGATATATTATATGTAATTAATAGATTAGATGTAATTAATATGTAATGTAATAATTAATATGTAAAATGTAATATAAATAATTAATATATAATATAAATAATTTTAATATAAATATTTTTTTTAGACATGATAGGATGTTTAAGCGAAAAGTGAATGATGAAATTATGAAATATCACTGACAACATCTAAATATATGAAGATAAATATCAATTCAAGATAATTGAACAAGTTTCTTTATAAATATGTATATGTATATGTGATTATTTATAAATAGAAATACACAATTTGTATATATATTTATATAAAGAGATAATATATTAGCAGTTTTTATTAATATGAGTTATTGTTGATTATATATTATATCATGAAATCAACGTCAATCTAATTTTACTTTTAGTAAAACATGTTTTTTTTATAAAATAAGATATTTTTTTACTTTAAGAAAGTATTTCTATTTAAATTTAAAAGGACAAATAAATAAATTTTATGATTTTTTAAATAAAAAATATATAAGTAAACTGTTTTTAGAGACTATATATATTAATATAAAAAAACATTTCTCTTTTTGATAAAAAAAGAAGACAATTTTACAAATTATTCTATAATAAAATGTTTTGTGTTTTGGTGTCCATGATATTTCATAAACTAATTAATCGATTTTATTTATTAACGACTTATTTAATTTGTAATAAAATCCTCTATAACACGAACTATAATTATTTTTAAAAACTATGTAAAAAATGACTTCTTAAAAAATAAATTTCTATTTTTCACTAATTTTTTCTACTTTAAGGTGCTAAGATATAGAAATATTTGATTAATTATAATTCTAGTTCAGATTAAGATTTCAGGCTAGATTTCATTACAAATTGAATAAGATTTAGTTAAAATAAGTTGATTAATTTTTATAACATTGGAAATAAAAAGCTATGAGAGCCAAACCCGGATGTATGTGCGTGAAGATCACGAAAATTTAATTTTTCGC